TTGGAAACAAGCGCCGCTTGCGATCCTCGCGCTCCAGCGCCGCCGCCTTCAACTCCTGCTCGATGAGCTTCTTGTACAGCGGGCCGTCCAGTCTCGCCTCCTGTGAGCTACGGTGGCTATAGGGCGTGGTACTCCTGGAGCCCCGCTTTCCGAACGGGATGAGCCGTGTGCTGAGCCGTGTGCTGTACCGCTGGCTGTGCCGCTGGCTTTCCCTAGAGCTCTTGGACATCAGCCTGTCCACCTGACTCAACTTTCTTGCAACTGGCTGCTCAGGCTCGGTGTCCACAAGATTGAGAAACACATCTCGTGGCGGCTCTATCTTTGCGAAATGCATTTCGGTTGCAACGCCTTTGAGATACTCCAGATACCTGGCGGATAGCATCTGTTTAATCTCATCCTTACTGAAGCCCGTCCGGTTTAGTTCATCGTGGAGAAGCTGCAGGCTGTCCCACATTGGGTGTCTGCCCACCATCAGCATAAAGCGCTTGACATCGGTCACATAGTCTATGAACTTGTTCTTCTCAATGACGTCCCTGAGAAACATCTGCAGGGGCTTGTGCTTAGCAGCCGATTCCAGATCTCTCATAAGGAATCTGTTAGGGCCAGTCGACCTAGGCTCGGTATGACCCCTAGGCTCCATAGCCTCAGAATCGTCGACTTCCTCCGAAGCCCTCACCATTCGTTCGTAGTATTCGCGTATTTGTGTGGGATCCATCTTATCAAGTTCTTCCGGCAATGCCTCGTAGTGGTATTCGCGAAGCTGCTGGATCCTTGTCTTGGAAACAGAGCTGGGACTAGAGTGGTCAGCCGAATCGGCGGCATCTAGAGTCACAGATCTATTTCGATTTTCATCAATTTGAATGCTTGCCTGGGGAATGCTTGTATCGATAGTTCGACCGAAGTCTTGAATATTTCCCCCAATTATAAGGCCGCTGGTTGTCCTCATCCTGGATAGGATGGTATCGGAAACGCTTTTCTGAGGAAATGACTTCGGTTCCCTCTGACTGGTCAGCAGGGGAACGCTTATGGACTTACGACTGGAGAAACTTTTCCATTTTCTGGGCCGCACCGGTTGCGAAACACTGGTGGGTATGTACATCATGTTCTTCTTGAGCGACTGATAGTGGCTTTCCTCCCGACCTTTTGACGGTGCAACAACTATTTTTTTGGGCATTATGAGTGGACCACGAAAAGATTTACGCATACTACTTTTTCGGGGTCGGTTGGCCATAATGATTTTATTCAGCGATTCACTCAGAGAAGTAATGCTATCCCTGGCTTCAGCTATTGGGGATACGCTAGTTTCGGCCTCTGGCCTGGGTCGCTTCTTAAGTCTGCGAACCATTACATCAGTGGCGGCATCTGAACTGCGAGATGTTTTATCAATCAAGACCTCTTTGGATATTATTGAACCACTTGAACTACTACTGTAGCCTCTTATACTGCGTGCGTGCTTTTTTATGTGCCTGCGGTGTTTGATGACTGTTGAAAGATCACTAAGCAAACGATGGACCAAAGTTCTTTGTTTGCCATAGGAGCTCTTTTTCATAAGTTTTGGCCGTCTTGTTTTAACACTTTGTTTCCAGGAAGACCTTTTCTTAAGCTGTTCTGATCCTGTGGCAACTGCCCCAGTTTTCCCAGGATGGGAATGCGACTGCTTGCGATGCTTAAAATGCTTATTTTGGTCAAACAGTGCTCTCAGCTCATCCCGTATAACCAAATCCACGTAATTATTTTTACGCTTTCGAGATTTTTTTGTACTTAATAATTTTGTTTTAAGGACCTTCGGCTGTGGTGCATCGTCCATTCTTAACAATTTCTTCAGATTTAACGGATTAGCTTTTTTGGCCTTTCTTTGAAATTGTGGTTGGAAAACTCGCGATTCTGAAAAGATTGATATATCCGACATAATCGGTGACCTCTTTATATGTTTCCTTTTTTTTTTAGGGGCTTTTGGACTCGTGTTAGAAGCACGTTTCTCTTTCTTTGGCGAATGAAATTCAGTTAGTTCTTTTACCAACAACTTAAGTTCATCGAAAGACGGCTTAGTGGGATCTGGTTTTCTTAGTCTTCGAATCTTTTTCATTTTTCTTTGAAGTTCCCTTTGAATTAAGAGATCGTCCAAACTTATATGGATAATTTTTGGCTTGGCTTTGGCTTTCTTTTTAAATCTTATGGCTTTAGGTATTTTATAAGGTCTGTATTTAAGCTCCTCCTTAAAGACTGGAATTTCCGGCTTTGTTCGTTTCTTGGCCTTGGTGTTTTTGCGCAGCACCTCATTGTTCCAGAAGGTAGCAAAGTCTTCTATGTCGTTATCCTGACCAGCCCTAGTGCGACGATGCTTTCGTCGCCGCTTGCCACGGATATCTGATAGATACTTTCTTACCTCCTGGGCCTCTGCTTCCCAGATTTGATCTTGACCCTCAATGAACTGATGGTATTGGGGACTGCTCTGCCACTTTCTTATGGCCTTGGCCAGCCGGCGAAAGCACTTGTCCACCAGTCGTTGTGGATTGCGTCGTTTCTTCAGCCGTTTCCGCAGTTGGTGTAGCCTGCGATGGAGCCTCTTTTTCAACTGCTCCTGCTGTCGAATGAGCCGATTTTGTAGCCTCAAAGCTCGGGACCAATTGCCCAGCCAGTGCTTGTACATGGCCAGCATTCCGCCCACTGCCCTCCTCGCCCGCTCCCGTCTCTCCAGCTCCGCGTCCCGCTGTCGTAGGCCTATGGATTGCCGCATCCTCTGGAGCAGTTGGTCACGAATCCTGCACATCACCTCCAGACGACGACGGGCTCGACGCTTCCGCTGTCGCAACTCCCTGGCCTTCCGACGGATCTGCTTCTTTAGCAGAGCCATCTGGGTGCTCCGGTGCAGTAGTGGCACTTGCATTTCGTACTGACTCAATTTATTTCTCTGCTAAGCGTTATAGTTAACAACCAGGGAGTGTAAAAAAAGAAAGGATTCACAGGTACTAAATAAAAATAGAGACAAACTGTCATTAAATTACAAAAGGTTAACTGTCAAATTTGTGGCTTTACTAAAGAAATAGTATCGTAAATCTGTTATTTTATTTTACTGGCTTACATGGTTAAAAAATATATTTTTTTATAGCAGACACCTTTTAGAAGTAAACAAAATTTTGGATTGAAATTTATGATAAATCGATGTCACCACTTAGAAGTTATAAGCTAAAATATATTAACAACATTTTACGTTTGTTTTTGTACAATAATAAATGTATTTTCACCAACGTGTATTACATTACGTGTAAGTGTTATAGATATACCTTTTAAAATCTAGCAAAAAATTTATTAACACAAGATTTCTACGGAATTCGATGTTTGAAGGTTGCATTAGGGTAAGCTTCTAAGAGTTTAAAAAAAGGATATCGTATGCCTTTTAATTAAATTAACAATTGTTCAAAACCATTTAATGTTTGAAGAACACTTTCGCGACCAGATTTGAACTAAGTAATTTCTATTGAAAAATTATAATATTTTTTTATGTAGATTGTATTTTTTTAGAATATATATATTTTTGATAATGAAATACTACCTTTATGTTTTAAACATATTTTATTTTATTTAAAAACTTTTGAGTTCTCAAAAAATTCCCCCAAAGTCATTGAATGAGCTCAAAAATCACCGGCCAGTCAATTGCAGGGGTTTTTGCCACACCCCTTATCAGACAGTGTAAAGCACCTGGTCGTTCGGGGACTCCATGGCGAAACACCGCTCAGCTTACTGATAAAGCACAAAGCATCTATATAGATGTAGGTAGTTCACAGACGGTTGCTTCTGCGGGAAGCACCCGTTCGGAGATCGCTTGCTATAAAATGAGTGGCGATCAGATTTCAGCATCGACAGTCAACAGTCAGCATTCAGATCACTAAGCAGATCAATAAGCAGCAGATCAACTAAGCAAGATGAGCAAACTAGTTGCCCTAATTGTGGTGGCCATTGGCGTTCTTGGTGTTTTTGCGGCGGCAATGCCTCAGCGTCCGCTGACCCAACCACTGATCTACTATCCCCCACCACCGACGCCACCCAGAATCTATAGGGTGCGTCGCCAGGTATTGGGTGGCTCAGTGGCCTCCAATCCGAATGGAGGAGCAGATGCCCGACTGGATCTAACCAAGGCGATAGGCACTCCGGAGCACCATGTGATTGGACAGGTGTTTGCTGCCGGCAACACTCAAACCAAGCCGGTCTCCACTCCCGTCACCAGTGGTGCTACTTTGGCCTACAATAAGTGAGTTAACTGCTGTTGTTGCTGGCCACCAACCTATCGTATACTAACCAGCATTGTTCCCCTCGCTCAGCAATGGCCACGGCATCGACCTGACCAAGACTCATACGCCCGGAGTGCGGGACAGCTTCCAGCAGACGGCCACCGCCAATCTGTTCAACGACGGAGTCCACAATCTGGATGCCAAGGCCTTCGCCTCGCAGAACCAACTGGCCAACGGACTCAAGTTCGACCGCAATGGAGCTGCCCTGGACTACGCGCACATCAATGGGCACGGTGCCACGCTGACGCACTCCAACATTCCCGGTCTGGGCAAGCAGCTGGAGCTGGCCGGACGGGCCAATCTCTGGCAGTCGCAGGATCGCAGCACGAGGATCGATCTCGGCAGCACGGCCTCCCAGTGGCTGAGTGGTCCCCTCCAGGGGCAACGCGATCTAGGCGCCAATCTGGGTCTCTCCCATTACTTTGGTTAAACTTTGAAACTAAGTAAATATCAAAGGCAGCAAATGTCTTAAGATATCTTTAATGTTCTTTGAAAACTTTTGGAATATTTTTCAAATTAATTTATTTAATTTGTTTGTTTTATTAAATGTTACTCTTACTCTTTTTACTTGTACTCGAATTAATTTATTTATTAATTTAATTACAGGATTATATTCGTAATTGATTTTTATTTTATTCAAGAGAAATACAATAAAAAATTTAACATAAAATGTTTTAATCTTCTGAAAAGTTAAGATGAATACACACCAAATTAAAAACGTCTTGAGCCAATCTATGTTATTTTGCAAGACACAAAAATACAACAAATTTGATTTAAATTAAGCAAAGTGAATTTTTATTTAAAATAAACATAAATACAGAAGAAAACTTACTAAACAATAATCAAAGGAAAGGAAACCAAAAGGAATCTGCGAATTAAAGACCTACAAAGGCCTTGGCCTGCTGTTCGCCCGCCTCCTTGAAGAGTTCCGCTGTCTTCAAAAGTTTGATGAAGCGCGGCGAGTACTCGGCGGACATGCGCTTCTCCAGGACCTCATCCAGACTGGCCTGCTTCAGGACCTCCTGCAGGCGGGCATTCCGCTGATGGCGCTCCGCGGAATCGGACAACTTCCTGAGGTAAACGAGATCCAGGAGCAGCTCGTCGCGCACTCCGGCTGCAGACTGCTGATCCTCCATCGACATATCCTCGTACTGGCGCAGCAGCTTCTTGACGATCCGCGACTTTTGGTTGATTTTACTAGAGTCGAGCAGACGGACATCCTGGCTAAAGTCCTCGGACAGGACACGCAGCGCGCTCTGTCTCTTCTCACGAATCTTCTGCTCTTCAGTCGACGTCTTGAGGATCAGGTCGTAGAACTCCTGGAGATCCGGGCGCAGGGGAATGCAGGCACGTCGGCGCACCTGCTGGTCAATAATATTACTGATGGCCTCCATGGTGTCCCGCACCATGTCCTCCGTCTGGCGGAGATAGTTCTCGCTCTTGTCGTTCCGGATCTGGTAGAAGTTCTTGGGCTGCTTCTGCGAGCACTTGCGATTCCTCTCAAGAACGGCCAACAGCCGATCCATGCCCGGATCATTGCCAACCGCCTCGAAGACGGCCGACACAATGTCCTCGGAAATCTTGCCCGTGATCAGCTTCTCGTAGCTATTCGACAGGCTCTCATCGTTTTCTGTTCGGGGTCGATTGCTGTTGGAAAGAAATCAGTTAGGTAAATAAGAGTTATCTTCTAAGCACAGTCTTCTATTATTGTGAACTACATCAAACACAAAATAACGAAAGGTTCAGTATTAATAAGACACACTTCTTGAAATTAAACTTATACAGTATTTTTTTTTATTAAAGTATAAGTATTAGTTCAACACTTAATAGTAAAGCCCCTATACTTTTTATTTTCAATTCTATACTCAAAAGTCTAAAACTGAACTCTAAGGTCTTATTTTTAAACCAAATAAGTTTTTTTTTGATCCTTTCGTGTTTTTAATTTAATACTCATATTATTGAGAAATTGTTTTTACTTAATAGTTAAAAATTCATGAACCAATTGCTTAGTTTCTATGACAATTAATTTTTTGATTTAAGTTTTTTATGCAAGCTCATATAAAATACCTTAGTGACATAACAATACAGGCTCAAAAAATGTATGATAATAAGAACACAGATTGAAGAAAAGGTTATGTTAATAATAAAATTACACTCAGAAAACTAAATTTCTTGGTTTTAGGAAAAATTGACTGAATTTTAGGAATAATTCCTTTAATGTGAGCCTTCCATATAAAATGTAAGAAGCATTACCTAAAAATACTCTAAATCATTGCAATTTCAGCGTTGTTATACACTTGTATTAGATTTCTTTGTAACAAGGACATTTTTGTATAACTAGCACAAGCTTAACTCATGAAATCCTTACAACTCACCACTGGCCAGTTGCTTCAAGTCGTTCTTTGGATGCTACTCTTGGTGTTTCTTTTGGATCTATTTTTGGCGCTACTTTCGCAGTCCCTTTGTGCGCTTCTTGAGGAGTATGTTTGGACTGGCTCTTTCCGCTCCATTTTATGATAGGCCTTTTCAGATGACCTTCTTGCTTCCTCAAGTTCCCCTTTCCATTTTTTGGTTGCCACTCCCCGCCCTTATTATCTGTGGACTCCTCAACCACCTGGCGGATATATCTCTCCTCCGTGTCTTCCAAATCATCTAGGTTATTATCCCATTGCGCAGAATTTCCATAGAGTTGACCATCATCGATATCGTGATTTGATCCTGGATGCAGCCTCTTATAATTTGGTAGCAAGCTTATGGATCCATTGCCGTAAAACTGTTTCGTTTTCGGATCGCCACATAAATTGGCATTGATGGAGACGTTGAGCTTCATGGCACCCGGCTGAATGCAAACACCATCCGATGAAGTGGTGCTGGGGGCTGAGGTGGTGCTGGGGGCTGAGGTGGTGCTGGGGGCTGAAGTGGTGCTGGGGGCTGAGGTGGTGATGGAAGTGTTGTTGATGAAAGTGGAAGTGGTTGCCTCTAAAGTTGTGCAATTTGGGGGCAAACTCGGATCCGTAGATACATTCGCAACAGGGAGAGGTGAAGTAGTGGTGATGGGCACACATCTGGGATCTATGGTGGTGGCGGTTGCCATCGCCGCCAAGAAGGGATCGCTCTTCACTTGCTTGTTGAAAAAGGGTCCAAAATATCGATGAATTCCAAAGGATTTTACTGGTGGCGACACTGGCTTGATGGGCAGTTGTTGCTGTTGCAATGGTTGCTGTTGCGGCAGATATTGCTGCTGTTGCGGTCGATATTGCTGCTGTTGCGGTCGATATTGCTGCTGTACGGGCGATGGTTGCTGAACTACTGGAGTTTGTGGGACAGGCTGCTGCTGCTGTTGTGGTGACTTCATATTCTGCATTTTTTGCAACTCATTGAAAAAGTGGGTTAAATTAAAACTGGCCTGAAAATTGGATTGATGACGTTGTCGGTTTAGATCTGGATGTTGCTGCTGAACTGGGTGCTGTTGTTGCTGCTGCTGCTGTTGTTGCAGCGGTTGCTGTTGTTGCTGCAGTTGCTGCTGTTGCACTTGCTGAGGCTGCTGTTGCTGCATTTGATATACCGCATTGGGTCGCTGATTCATCATGGGCACCAGATCCCTAGTGGGATCGTAGATATTCGTCAGGGAATCGTCATCATGGGCGGCTTCCAGTTCATCATAATGTGCCAGCAATTCGTGACTTGGATAGGACTTTCCACCCGCATCCTCGGCATCTGGTGTGAGCAAGCCATTGCCCAAGGTGCCAAAATGAACACGATTCCCATTGTGGTCTTCAAAATCATCCAGTAGATGAACGAAACGCTTGGCCATTACATGTTGTTGCCGGAGTTCTGGTTGCTGCTGTTGCTCCTTGTCCTCCAACGATCGCTTGGATCTTCTGTTCTGTCTGCGGAGTCGACGAAGCCTCGTTTGCCGCTTGCCACGATTCTTGTCCAGCGACAATTCGTTGGCCAACAGCTTGACCACCGCATCGGGATTTACTTTTGGAGCCGATGCCGCCGCCTCCTTGGACTCAACTTTATTGGCTGCCTCGCACTCTGATTTCTCCTCTGCTGGCTCCTGAAGCTTTAGCTTGATGTTGACTTTCACAATGCTGTCATCCGTTTCCGGCTTTGCGCCCTCCTCGGATTTGCAATCCGTTTCGCCGTCGGAGTTGCCGTCATGGTTGTCGGCGGCTTCGTTGGCTTCAGGACTTTCACGTTTCTCCAGATTGTCTTTGCTTTCGGAACTTATGGCCAGTTCAGCATCGCCATTGGAGTGCAGTTCACTAATGGTGTTTAAAGTAAGGGGCATCTCACCTTTTAAAGGCAATTCTGATTTGACCTCTGCTGCAGTTAAAGTGTCAGCTTTAGCAGTAGCCTCTACTTTAATGGGCTGCATATCCCCTATAGCCTTCTTCGCTTCACGTTTTTTTTTAGTCTCTAGAGTATCCACTAACTTGCCTTCAACGATTGATGCATCAGCTTCAATTTTAATTTCTGACTTACCCAAAGCTTCCTCATCTAACTTGACTTGGTCACTCAAGTCACCCAACTTAATGTCCTTGCTTGAATGCCCTTTTCCTTCCTTAATGTCCAATAAGCCAGTTTTAAGAGCCATTTCACGATCGGAAATGCTTTGCCCCTCTTCAACTTCATTGGTTGATGGTAACGATTGCTCTCCTAGAGGTAATGCAGCTCCCAAGTCCGATAGATCGTTGACTTTCATACGAGGTGCAACCAAATGTGGTTCTCTTTTGAACCGGTCCAAGTCGATGGGCATGCGATTGCTCCTCTCGTAATCCCGCACACTGGTCATTTGTCGCTGATTGAGGGGGTGAAAGCGATCGTACTGGGGCACTCGGTAGTCGTAACTTTGGGGCAACTCCATCATTTGATTTTGATTCATATCCATGCCGGTATTGACGGGCTGCAAGTACTCCAAGTTTTCGTTCGGCGTCATTAAGCTATTGCCGCCCAATCGCTGATCTTCAACTTCGATATCCTGATTGGTATCGAACTGTTGCTGCAGCTGTTGCTGCAGCTGTTGATGCTGCTGTTGCTGCTGCTGCTGCTGTTGTTCCTCCAGCTCCCTCCTCCGCATCATGTCGTCCACCTTTTGGTGACGATGCATGTCCAACAGGGCGTTACTGGGCAGTGAGGGACCGAGTCCCTTGAGCATCAAACGACTGCTGGTTTTGAGCTTGATCTCGTTCATGGGATTGAAGCCAGTGCAAGAGCTGCGCTTCTGTTGCTTGAGAGGAGTTATAGCAATGAGGCCAGGTCTGGAGATCTTCGAGGACTTCTCCGAGGCATCCTGTTCGATCTTGGAGAGCTTGTAGTTGGCCTCGTGGGCCAGCTTGTTGGACGTGGCATGGGGAAAGGCCAGCCGGTTGAGGGTACTTTCGTAGACGCCATCCGGAATGGGGGCATTGCCAAACTCTGGCAACTTCTCAGCCCAACTACTATCCGCCTCATTCAGGTGAACCTCCTTGGACTTCTCCGCCTTCCTGGCCTCCAGACTCTCCTGGTCATTTAGCAGCTGCTGCACCTGCTTCAACCTTACGTCCAGATTGCTGAGACCACTGTCCTGCGGATTTAAATGGCTCTTAGTAACCTGGTACTTGCGAACTATGTTATCATCGCTTACTTCCTTGTACTTGAGCTTTACCTTGCCCATCTCGGTGCGCTCCATGGCCTGGGCATGCTGGTCGTTGATCTTCTTGGCCAGCGATCGCTCCTGTTTGCCGCACCTACCCTTTTGGTTGGCATTCTCTTGGCTCTTGGCCATGTCCGCCTGGATGTTGCGGAACCAGGCGTCCGCCGCCTCCTGCAGCACACGCTCCTCCTCCTCCTCCTCATCGGCCTTTGCTTTGGCGTCACCGACCGTGGCCTGGGCAAAGTTGGCCAGCATGTCGTCGATGGAGTCGCGCCGATCCCGACACTGCTGCTGCTGCGGATTGGCCAGCTCCTGCAGTCCGCCATAGGAGGACTTCAGTTCCTGCAACTCGGGTCGAGCCAGCTCCACCGCCCGGCTGAAGCTGAGCAACTTGTCGCTGCCCACCGAAGGGTTCCCCTGCTCCCGCCTTTCGTCTCCGCTCGACATTTGTTGGGAGGAACCATGCCCACTGAACACCATCAGCGCCCACCAGAATTGGAGGAAAATCATCTCGTATTGGGGATTTGGTTTTCTTGAAATAAAAATGGGATTTCCGTACGATTCAAAACTCTCTATCTCGGCCTGCTTTTTTTTGTTTTAATTTTAAGAAAAATTCAAAAGTAAATTGAGCATTTCAACAACCAATGAAAAAAGCGCCTATTAATTTAAAGTATCATTTGTTTAAAAATTAATCGAGCAGTAAAGCTTGTTTTAAGCAACAAAGAAGTCACAATCAATATTTATTTTAAAACTGTTATTATTGACATAACTTTACTTTAGTCTTGGAGGGAGGTAGTCAATATTAACATCATGACTTTCAATTCAATTTATTTGTATAACATTGATTAACTTTGGATGATAGAAACTCGCTGCAAATTTGATGATGCGACAAATAAACATACACATAAAATTACAATTTTTATATGTTTTGGATATCTTCAAAATTAAATAATTTATCATATTTTCCCTTAAAAATAAAATATGATGACTTTACAAAACCCTTGGTGCCTTTGTCTTTTAATGGGGAAACTTATATACCATTGTTAAATATTATTTGGCGTGTGGCTGGAACAACAAGTTTTGCTTCCCCATTGCTGGCCACAACCTAGTCGAACTCGATGGGGTTCCGGGGCACTGGGAGTCGAGTCTTTTACGTTGTGGCGCTGTGGCAACAGGTGTCTGCGGCACAACTTTGACAACTTGGCCCGATAAGAGTCGCAATGTCACCAGTCCAACTCCCCCCGTCCAGTCCCGTCCCGCCCCCCAAGTGACACGCCCCCTCATTCCGCCCAGAGGGGAACTGCTGTATTGTGTCAAGTTTTTGCATACGTACGACGACTGCGCCGGCGGCTTCCGACAGCTGTTTAACATGAGATGTCCTTTGTTGCCCGCCCACACGCACACACACACACACACACACTATCCTGATCCTGGCACAAGGGGTAAATGATTCCACTCCCACTCCAACTCCCAGCGGGAATATTGTTTCCTCGCCCATGTAAATCAGATTTTTGTTTTATACCAAAACTTTTGCCAATGGAAGTGGAAATGGAAATGGAATGGGAATGGGAATGCGCAGCGACAATAACATTTCCTATTTCCTTCTGTCGCTGCGAGTGTGTTATCCTGCATGTTGTCAATGCCAAAGTCAGCACAATGCGCCGCTCGAAATAATTGAAAATAATCAAACATTCAGTGGGAGCAACTGCAGCAGCAACCAGGCATCGTGGCATCCAGGCATCCAAGCATCCAGGCATCGAGAGCACCCAGGAGCAATGGCAACATCAACACCAGCAGCAGCAGCACAGGCAGAACTAATGTAATTAGCGGGCACAGAGCGCATTCGCTTTTGATTAAAAGTTTTACCATCCACCATCCACTCACTTGGTAATCCAGTGAACAACACAATGAAGCAATATGAATAAACGCATTGTGTGTTGTTTAGTTTGTAAAATTATCAGGAGGGAATGGGCGATCCGTTTTCCCTTGGTTATATAACCAAAGATGCTGCTAACGAAGTTAAGGCAGGCTTTTTATTTCTATCACAAGTGGGAACTACAGTTTTCCTTTTGACTGACAGAGTTCATTGTTTAGAAAAGTCTTGATAACTCCATTTAAATTTGATTTAGGTTTCTTAGCAAACCCTCAGAGGTAATTAATGTTCAAAGAATTTTTTGTGAATGTGCTTTTAAAAAGTCTTAAAATTATGAATAACTTTTATTTTGAGTATAAAAAAATATATATAAATATATTAAAAAAATCTATTATGGTTTTTTTTATAGAAGTAGGGAGAAAAGCCACTTAAATCACCAGGGACTTGAAATTTCTTTAAATGGTTTTCAGTGAAAAGGATCAGAAAGACTTTAGAGCCGAAAATATATTGTTGCTTACTATTAGAAACACGTTTAATAGCAAATAACAATTGCTAGAAAAATTTTTTAATTTGGGAAGCTCACTTTTCTCCATTCGAACGACTTTTTGGGACCTCAAAGTATTCAATATTTATATTATGTATACGCATGCCTCACTAGATTTTGCTAGCCAAAATAGCTGGTTTCAGTATTGACAAACTGCGGCAAATTCTCTCCACAGATTAGCCTATAGTTCACCGCCAAAGAATGTCGGATTAATCTCACGCAAAATGCGTCAAACGCCGCTGGCCAATAAACAATATAGCGATAATTTTGCGGCTTGTAATTAAATTACTTAGCCGGTCGCAGTGACAGGACACAGTACACAGTATGCGCTGGGCAAATCCTTTCAACAGGCCCGCGAAGTACCGATGTGGCTGAGCCCGGGGACATATTTCCATAAAGCCACCGCAGCCACCGCTGTCAATATGCGGATTAACGCATCAATTAAATGGCGGGGGGAAAGGGACGAGAGCTGGACATGGATATATATATTCAGGGGAGGCTAGCTGTTGCTTGCAGCGACAAAAATTTCATTTCGCCGGGTAATTTAATTAATTGCAGAATTTCACAATCAGGCCGAAGCTGGCTGGTAAAAACAATTTGAATTCCGCTTCAGCACTCCCGCTCTCCGGCCGTAATCCCCATAATCCCCGATTCTATTCGTCGCATTTATGATGTGCATGAAGTGCAAATTCAACCATTGCCGCTCATTTCCCGGACATTGGGCAACTAAATTAATTCGATAATTGACTTCCACTGCCTCGCCGGGTAGCATTGTCATCCCTTCCGGATCTCAAGCTCCAGAGGCCAAAGACCGTGACCATGAACCGTTCGTCGCCTCCACGGATGCTGCTCGTTTACTTTTTTATGGGCGGCGCACACAGAAAACATAAAAACGTCTGTTGCGTGTTGCATATGGAAAATTGCCAAAAGTCGGACCGAAAAAAAATGCGAGCCCAAGGAAAGAAGTCGCAAGCGGAATTGTTGCAAAGCAGTAAAGGCCAGGCTAATGGCAATGGCATGACAGCCGGAAGAGACGGACAAGAAAACATGTTCGGGCGGCCAAGTCAGAATCAAGGAGCAATGAGCAATGAACAAGGAGCAATGAGCAAGGAGCAAGGAGCAAAGAGCTGGCAGTCCGGACAGAAAGTTTTTATAGTTGTGCAAGTGCATGTGATTGCTTTATGAGCTCCAGATGAAGTTGCCGGCACGTCCGTGGCCCTGCTGTCATTTAGTTAATTATAAGCAATTAGCAGCGGATGTTGCCAACGGGGAATTAAATATTAAGCGCCTAAATGCAACCATTGCATATTATCGGTCACGAGCGAAACATTCTCCAAATGGTTCACCACCTCAATTTGAATTGTTTGATTGGTAAGATAAAAGGGGTGGCACTAATCCGAACTATAATATATTGCGTTCCAATTGCAACATAATTAACTTTGGGTAGAGATAACAAAATTATTTATTTAAGTGGCTTATCAACAATAAGTATTATACGTATTACTTATTTTGTGAAATTCTCTTTCACACAAATACTTTTTATTTATTTTGGACTTTTTTGATTTATAGTTTTCTAAATATTTTCTCTTGTTACTCTAAACCTGCCAATTATTCAATCTACATTGTATATTGCATTTCAAATAATAATTTTTATGACTAAAAAAACCTATTCCTCAAAAATGTTTTTTAAATTAGAGAGAGAGTTAAGACATAAAATAAAACCAACTAAGAATATACAAAGAAGAATATATACACTACACTATACATACACTAAACAGGGTCGAAAATGTCTCCCTCACTGCGTTGCAAATTTTTGACTAAAATTATACAACTCTTTGAAAGGGTATACGAAAACTTTTGCTTAAAATAAAAACACTTACAAAGATCCTATTTCATTTAATTTAACCCCTTAAAACAAATTTGATATTCCAACAATGAATTTAAAGCTCTAGGATAAGTTTCGATAAATTTTACTTTCGGATACACTGTTAAATAAGCAACTAATTAAAGATCAATAGCCTGAAAGTAACGTAAAAGTTACATTAAGAAAAACAATCTCTCAGAATTCAGATCATCTGCCCAATCTCTCGGCAGAAGTGGCTGCCTGGTAATAAAATAAACCATTTTACTGCTGTTGACTCATTTGAGAATTGTCTGTCTGCCTGCGTATGGGATTCGGGCTAAAGAAGTGCAACTAGATTCGCAGCAGAAGGCACAAGTAAAGGTAAGGACAGAGGTACTGGTGGAAAGAAAGCAAGAGTCAGTGGCGGTGGCATTAATTTGTGCTATTTCCTAGAGGTTTCTCTGTGGGCCTCAAGGCAACGCGTAACCAGTTGAAGACGGTGTTGATGATGATGCCAGGATGCTCCAGCAACCAGAAACCCGCCAACCAGCTACCAACAGCAGCAGCAGCATTTGTGGCCATGATAAAAGTTGCATGAGCTTGCACTGGGTATTTTATGCTGCTTTCTACCGCCTGTTGCCTTGCTACTTGCTACTTGTACACATGAAACAATAGTTATATTTTTTAAAGTCATTTTTTGACAGTGACAAATTCTAGTGTTTATAAATATAATACAATATTTTTAATTAATACTCAATATATTAAGCACAGGCATTGACATCACTCATTCGCACTGTTGCCTTTGAACGACATTTTTAATATCCAAGGAGCAAACTTTTAAGCCAGAATGCTTTTTGGCATATGTTTCGTAGGAATAATTTTCTTGGTTTTCGAATAAAAGCGAATTAATTTATGAGAATTGCTGTAATGTAAATGAATTTTTTATTAAATATAAATTTAATTATTTGGCATTTCCTACAAAAGTTTAAAATCGGAAATTTATAAGAAAATACATATATAAAGTTGATGTGTCGAATACTTTATGATCTGGTTTCGTTGTCTGTACTGCTTTTACAGAAGAGGAGAAAAGTGAAAAAGCTACGGTCTTCGGCCAGTCAGACGCGTTCCCAAGTTGCAGTCAAATTTTCATTTTTCCACTCACGTATTTCGATTAAATTCTCATTTTGGTCATAATTTTCCAGTTTTTACGTTGGCCTCGGCATTAAATTGCAACTCGGCTCTCTGGGGCGGATGTGGGCCCCCACTCACTCCTCCTGCTGCTCACCTACTCGGTTGCTTTTCCGACCGTTGCTTCTCTTCTTTATGTGCGTTGCGTATCGAAGGCATCAAGTTCTCTGTCGGCGAATACATTTAGAAAATTAAAAGTTTTCCAGGCCCTACGAGCTTCAATAGTATCTGCAATTGTTTGCGCGCTCCTTCTTCCATAAATCAATTTGCAACGCGCAAGTTTTATTATGGCTGCATAAATCCGTTAACAAAGCCCCGGCCACCTGATGCCAGATTTCTATATGTGGTCGGCTAATTTGGCGCGGCACGCACACTTGGCTTATTCCCAATGAGCATTGAACGATGTCAGGTACAGAAACAGATACAGATACAAACACAACGGATACCGATATATGGCAGCGACAGTTGGCTTAGTTGGACAAAGCAACTTTTTGCGCGTAATAAATTGATAAATAGTCCAACGCATATACCTATATGTCCCAAAGGGGGTTTGTTTGCTGGCGAAAGGAAGAAGGAGGTAGTGCATCGCCGTTCAGCTGCCAAGTATGCAACAGTTTTCAATTGCCACTCGCTGGCAAGCTGACTGCAAAATGTAGCATACTCTTGGGCTGTGAAAAAAAAAAATTGAAATATGGTTTTGGATTGGGACTATAATCGATTTGGCTTAAACTTTGCTAATTTAGAGAATCTGAGTTCATAGACTGTTTACAATAAAACAAGAAGGTATTATAAAGCATATTTAACCTGTTAATACTGTAAGAAGAAATGTGTTTTGTTCTTAAATATTAATGCTCTAAAATGTTTTATAAAGCCCACCTTTAAATATGTATATGTTTTAAGTTTTGAAAATGTTTCATGTTTTTTTAAATAAATATTTGAATAAGACCATTTTTAAATCAAATTCCCATTAATATATGTAGTTTACGTAGCGAAAACAATTCGAAAGACCAACATTTTTCAATATATAAGCTAAATTTTGGACAATACATTTTTTAGCTAACAAAGTTGTCTTGGACAAGTTGTGTGTATAAAGAAAATATTAGTTTATTATATTGAAATTTTAGAATCTCAATTACTGATCGTATAGTTTACAGTTTATGCATAAATTTTTATGTTTATATATTTATTTTATTCTATTCAGCACAGTCTTGCCCTCAAACTGGTAACACAGCTAGGCTGAAATGGATCTTGGTAATCCCAGCTAAAGACGTCTTTATCAAACCGCGTAGTCAATCAAAAGTAAACATTTCAGCCCCAAACTCCTCGAAGGTTCCACAATTTCAGCATAATTCACGCGTACTCATCCGTCTGTTGTTTTTCGATTATGTCGCATTGTCTTGGCTTAAAGTTTTTCGGGGCCGGGACCAGACCAATGGCCAACGGGGAGCAGTCGAGTTGGCCAGCAACTCGGGATGTTGCCTGGAAATATTACAGCGATTCCTACTTATGCCTCAATTCGTTTGCCTTGTCACGGCGAGTGCACAAAGGAGGAGTTCGAGGATGGGATGCCATCCGAGCGACATGACAAAGGGGCGAAAAAGGAACACCCGGCGCATCCTTCGACCCATGCCTGTGCATCACAAAACATGACATGGCACGAGCCATTCCGTTTGTTTTTTCTATTCCCATTTTACAGCTGTCCATCCGTCCTCCGTTGGCCAAACAAATTTTTCTCTGTTTTTCGCTGCGATCCCTGAGTAAAATATTATGTTACCCGGCGACAAAGAAAGACGAAACTTTGACTATGGCTCTGGGCTAGAACGAAATGAAAAGGGCGCTAAAAGCGTATTTAAATGCATTTTCTATAAGCAAATTTGCCGGTTATGCATATGCAGCATAAACCGCACACAAGCAATTCATTAAGCGAACGCAACGCGGCGGCAGCGGCGGCGGTGGCGGTGGCAAATAGAAAATTACTGACAAAACACTGTCCGACAGTTTACGAGCCGCAGACACTGAACATCGAATGGCAGGAGCATATTTACAACCTTCAAATGCTTCATTTTATTGGTCTCGGAACGAACAAATGGCGCACAGGCCACATAGACACTGCTCCACCGCTAGCTGGGAAAAATTTTGCATAATTTATGTGGATGCCGCGCACACGGAAGGACTCCAAGGATTCGAAGGAAAACAACGCACGAGCACACGGCCAACTGATTTAAATGCAATTGCACTGAAGTATGTTGTCGAAGGAGTAGGCGAAGTCGAAGGCGAAGGCGAAGGCGGAGGATGGAGGGTCAAACGGGGGATATAGAGACATCTGCACGTGCAACCGGAAACATCCGGAGACCAGGCATCTCCTTCGCCGGGCAATTTCTTTTCATTTGCCAAGGTGTTGAGTTGCACCGACACCGACGTGGCCAAAAGCCAGCAGCTATAATGGCTTGGTCACAAGTGTCGTCTATTTGTCGCCGACCGGGGCACTGGCACTCCAGCTCCAGCTCCAGATCCTGGCCATCGTGGGCATCCTAGCCATCCTGGGCAGCCCAAGACAAACAACCGACAAATTTTGTGTATTTTGTGCATTCTTAAAATTGTCCAAATTTATGTGACACGCTGCGCCAATTGATCAGATTAAATAAACATGAGGGCAAACGAATCGAATTTGGCTGTGCGGCCAAAGACAATGCATGTGGCAGTCTCTATTTAAATGGCGCACCAACAGACTGGGTTATACAGTGGCTTGTGGATAAGGCAGACTGCCAGAAGGAACATACACAGAAAAAAATATCTGAAATTTCAGGTGCAATAATAGGAATCATTAGAAAATGTTAAAAACATTATGCAATTTTATTTCTAATAAGTGTTATAAATTTTTCTTTTTAGTTTCTTGTCATCTAAAAAATCGAATTATACAGCTCGTTTTTATCTTTGTAGGACCAAATCTAGGTAATTATGCAATATTTCGAACGGGTTTTATTGTAAACTGTTTTTTAAATTTTTTTTTTATTTTATATGTTATCAATATTTTTAGAAAAAATTTAATATTCTAAAATTATAAATTATAATTCATAATTTAAAATTATTTATGTCGTTCACACAACGTTCTTTTGATCTTTTGTAGAATTTAGCACATGTGTATGTGTGTGCATTTGAATTGCACCATTTCAAATTCAGTAAAATTATTATTTTTTTAACAGACCAATAAAATATAATTTAAATTAAGATATTAAAACAATTACCAAACAATATTTAAATTTCATTGAAAAATGAAATGAAGCCGTGCGAAAGAACCCAAAGTTTGCTTTTATTTAAAACTAATTAATCGGTCCAACGCATGTTTTTAATTTGAGCAAAAGGTCTATAAATTGTTTTCTTGCAATCCCCACAAATGGTTTCTCATAGCTAATATTCATTGTAGTTACAAATAAGTAACATGAGTTTCCTAGAAACAAGTTCTCGTTCAAATGCAATTTACTCAAGATGCAAGTATTTTGTTGCAAAGAAAGTTTGACAGTTTTATTCCAGTTGATGCAACTGAAAACGAGCTGTCAAAAATACCCATGCAGTAGTTATTCTTGTCATAAACTAATCACCATTTGTCAACAGTAATTCATCGCTTACAGGTAGTAAACTAGTTATTACAGCTTTTCCGAATAAGCGATCAAATATTCCAATAACTTCTAGGGTACAGGTAGATTGCTTCGATAGATTATGTAGATGTTTAATGGTCGGCTGCGGCAATCTTTTCAGAAATTCCCGATCGCACTCCCGCTGCAGTTCGGATTGTGACGTTGGGGAAATTCTGAGCGGTCGCTGTAAACAAGCCCAGTCAGATGCTAATTTGATAGGTATTTTTCAAGCTATAAATACTGGAAGCCAATAGCTTGCAGTTAGTTGAAGCTGGGCTTTGCAACAGATCACAATGAAATCGTTTGGACTAATTGCACTTGCTGTTTGCGGTGTTCTCTGCGTCGGTGAGACAGTTAAAATAAATAAATAATGATCAATGGAGTAAATGAATATTATCCTTGCAGCTGCAGAGCCGCAGCAAACCTACGACGGCCGCGATGGTCCTCATGTCTTTGGAACGCCGGGCAACCAAGTCTATATAAGGGGTCAAAACGAGGGCCCCTATACAGTGCCCGGAGTGGGCGGCCAGTTCCAGAACTCTCCGCAACGGGGTGAGCATGTGTACACCGATGAGCTGGGAAACACTTTTGTGAACCGAAAGAATCCAGGTGGCCCAGGTACAGTGGATGATTTAAATAGGCCCTCAAAGCTTATATTCTATTAATTTGAATATTTTTTTATTTTAGCTTCCCATTCCATTAGTGGTCCGAGCCTTTCGGCACAGAACTTGGGAAGCTCACGCCAAGATGCCCCTTACAGCGCTGCTGGAAATCCAAAACGTGGCCGTCGAAGTCCGAAAGTTTTTATACGCTTTGAGGATCGCTTCGGGAATTCTGAAAGATCGGACTTTCACCGCGTCCGTCGCAGTCCGCAGCTTGTGGTCTCCCGTCCGGATCGCACAGTCCTGGTTGGCAACGGTGGAGTGTACGTGCAACGCAGTCGCCGCAGTCCGCAGTTCCATGTTGAGCGGCCAGATCGCACTGTAGATTTTGGCAACGGCGGCTTCTCCGTTCAACGATTCCGCCGTAGTACTCTGGATGACAAGGAGCAGCCTTTTCAGCCCCGTTTCCGTCGCGGAATCAACGATGCCCGCGTCCAGGGCAGCAACTTTGTGGCCCGGGACGACCAAGCTGGTGTTTGGGATCGCAACGTTTCGGTTTGGAAGCGTCCGGATGGACGTACTGTTACCCTTGATAACAATGGAAATGCCATCGTTTCCGGACGGAGAGGTACCCAGCGCGTAAGTACTCTAGCTCATTTAACCAGTCTAACCCTATCTAACGTATTCATTGTTTTTTTTTTCAGTACTCCTAAAAAGGTTCCAAATCAATAACTCTTTAGACTTTGTAACATAAACAATTTGTTACTATGTATATGCTAGTTAAATCACATGATATCTAAATATAAAAAAAATATCCCAAAAAAACTTTATACGTTAGCGAACACGAGTTTGGTTTGGGCTGCACTTGTGACTGCAAGTTTGGTTAAATTAAGGGTAGATTTCACCTTGAGTGAATAGGTTGCATATGTTGAATATGTCTATAGAGAACAGGAGTGACCAGAGCACTGGGTGAGATTCCTTAGCCTTAGCGAATATAGAGCTCGTTCGATGGGCAGCAGATCGTAGGCTATGTTTGTCATTTGAAACTGGTCCAGCTGCAGATCGTAGGCCTCCAAGTAGTTCTGAAATATAAGACAAGATATAGATACTCCAAGTAATTTTGTATCCACTAATCTACCTCATTGTCGCGAAACTCGCAGTAAACGCGATCCTCCCGGTGGCGAATATTTCGCAGGCAGGCATAGGTGTTGTTCCACGAATCCTGGCAATGGCATTCCGCCTCCGGTGAGCACTGTGCCAGCCGATCCTGCTTCGCCCAAGGACATTCGGGATTGTAGGTGGCCACGTTGCCCTCACCCCAGTATTCGATTAGCAGGGATCGTTCGAAAAACGGAATCCTCCGCTCTTTACTCAGTAGAATCTCGTGAAACGATTGTCCATCCATGTAGGCGGGGGTGCTGACGTTGGCCCACGCCAATATGGTGGGTGCCAAGTCCACCAAGCTGACGGCAGTGTCCACATGGCTCTCGGGTGCGATTCCAGGTCCCCGGATTAGCAGCGGTATGCCAATATCCGTTTCGTATGGCTGTCGCTTGTCAAACGGCTGTGCGAACTGTCCCACATGGTAGCCATTGTCCGAGGTGTAAACGACGTAGGTGTTGTCCAGCGATTGTGTCTCATTTAGCACGCCCACCAAAGTGGCCACCAGCTCGTCCACCGCCAGCAGCGATTCCCAGCGCTTTTGGAAATACTTGTCTATGGTGTCGATTGTCTCATTGGACAGCGGGCGGGATGCTCGAACCAACCAGTGTTTATCTGTGATTGTTTTTTTTTGTATTTTAATTCTACAGTACTTTATTTTAGAATGTTCAAACTTACCCTGTCGAACCTCATTAAAGCTGGGCGTTCGCAAGGCTTTTATGTGGGAGAAGACGCCCTCGTGTCGCGGAGCAGGAGTGAAAGGTGCATGGGCTGCCGGCGGAGCCACCATGGCGAAGAAGGGCTGTCCATTCCCAACTCCTTGAGATTGGGTGGCGTTCCTCAGGAAATCCACCGCACGATCCCTTAACAGATCGGTCAGATATGTTGACTCGTAGTGCACGTTTCCGGAATTCTCACGCAATGTATAATTGTAGTACCGGGAGTTGCCATGAAGGCCGTAGAACTGGTTCCATCCCTTGGGCACATCGCCGGCGCCCCAGTACTCGTTCAAGTACTTCCCGCCGAAGAAGGTGTTGTATCCGTTCTGCTGCAGGATGTGCGGCAGAGCACGGGGCTCCAGGGCCCTCCTCCAGTGCGGTCCGTAGCAGCCACCGCTCACGGAATTGTTCCGGGTGCCGTGGTTGTGCGCATACATCCCCGTGAGCAGACTCGTCCGAGCCGGACAGCAGATGGGTGTGGGCGTGAAGGCGTTGTGGAACAGGGCGCCTCCGTAGCCCAGCAGCTGGATCGTCTGCTCCATGGGAAACATTCCGCGCAGCTCCACATCCTGATCGTCGCTCAGGATCAGCAGGATGTTGGGTAATGTTGCTGTGGCGGCATTTCCCAGGCACGCAAGGATCAATGCATTTAGGAGGGTTAAGCCGGCCTGCAGGGATTGGCGGATGAGTAGATGGCTAGGATTGTTCTGTATTTACGCACCATGGAGCTAAGCCCAATTTTCTTTTGTTGACATGAAAAGTATGCGATAACAAAACCCGGCTTAAGATTTTAGGGTTGGAGCGCCCAAACGATCGTTTAGCATTAATTGGCGGTTTTAAATAGTGTTGCCGTTTTAACCTTTTCCCAGTCAGATCTGTTTTTTTTATTTTTTGAAAATATTTAAAACTGTAAAACAACTGTTGAACGAAAAACTATAGTTTTTAAATTTATAAGTAGTATATTTTATTCATCATCAAATAATTAAAGTAGCGAAAGAAACATTTACTTCTAAAAAAGGGGATAAAACATCATTTATGTGAAGTTGTGCCGTAATTAACCCACATTTCAAAAAACGCATATTTTCACTTAACTATACATTCCCGATGTAACGCTTTTTTTTTACTGATCTTAGATTATATTTTAAAGTCTCAAAATTAATAAAGAAATATGTTAAATAATACAAATTATTTTAAATTCCATTATAATCAAATAATTTTTAATTTCAATTAGTCGTGAGTGCATTGAAAAGTTTGCGACTATACTTATTTGCATAGCATGTGTGGAATTTTCTAAAATTTTGTATGAAATTATCCGGCATAAATTTTAAAAATCGAGAGAAAAATCCTCTAAGAGCACCCAGATCTGTAAAAATTAAATGTGGTAATGTTGCCAGATTGTTTCAATTCTGTTAAATGCCACTCCCGAACATGCGCACTCTGTGCTGTTAACCGATTACTGTTAATGGGCGCCAAAATAGATTCAAAAATTGTATTTGATTTCCCATCATCAATGAAAGCTGTAAATACCGTACGAGAAATATGATTTATTTCCTATGAATATCAATGGTTCAGTGACCGAAAAATACAGAATCTTTGCCGACATAAATATGTTTTTGAAATTCACAATAATGTAATGCATATGTAGGTACAAATGTTTACAGTTTACTTAGAGATAGACCTTTAAAAAAAGAATGCAAGTCTGTATCCGTATCACAAAGCTGCGCCAAGGACAAGGACAGATACGAAAGACCGAACTCTAGCCTCTTAAATATGTTTTTGTTCTTTTTGCGATCTTACAAAATAAATAACAGCAAAGATTGATAGACGTATATGCGCAATAGTCAATGTTGTGTGGCGTCTACGAAAAGTTTTCCGATTACTGCAAGTGTAAGACACATAGAGAATAAATGTGGTGTGTGTTTTTGGCCTACCAGAAATGTGCTCCTATCTGGTGAATTCTAAATACCAATTCAAATCTAATTGTTGACGTTGCTCCTTGCGGTTTCCTATATACATGTGCACCGTGAGATCCGTACTCCCAGCCCGTCCGGCTTAGTTTCCCTCGGGCTTTGGCAGATTCGTATCATATGCTCGTATAATGATAGACTGCGGCACAGCTCCGCCCTCCTCCTGGGAAAATGCATAGCCATCTGGGGATGTAGACAAAGTCAGTTACAATCTCATGGATAAATCACAAAACAAAATGTTGTGTGGTGGAGTCTGTAATGTGTGTGAGTGTGGTCCCAGTGTCTCATGGTTCTCCTTCTGAAGGAGAACCCCCCTAAAGGGAGGGGGTTGATACCTAATGGTACCCCGATCCCCGGGATTCGGACCTACTGCTCGAGGCGTCCTACCACTAATTGCTAATTGCCTTCTGGAACTTAGTGGTACTCACGCGATAGTTCTAGCTCCGTATCGACTCTCGTGTTGGCACGACGGGTAAAGACATTACGTAGCAGCCGGGCCGTTTCCGTGAATCTGTTGGGTTAATTTTTGAGCGGGTCGTATATGATTTAGTAAAGGGTATTCAATTTCGTGGGGGGGTGGGATGTTAATTGGGACGTGGGTTTCCATTTTGAATTGTTAGCACTTTACACAGTAGTTGCAGTTATAGTAACAAGATCGGTCCGAATTCTACGGAATGGAGATTTACTTGGGCTTTGGCAAAGGAGCATACATATAATCAAATCAGGATGAGAAACGAGGTGTGTACCAAATCGAAGGGGCATGCATATTACGTAATAAATGGAATAGAGCCTACATACTTTGGAGTTGGCAAATAATAGAAATAGGTTACGATTCTGGAGATAAAAATTACAACCAATCTGACGCTACAAAAAATAAAAGTTCCGTACAATAAAGTGTTATAGGTATACAAGTTTTGGGTCCTATCTATCCCTATAGCACCCTCCTGAGTTTGGGGAACCCAGTAAATCCCCAGTGACTGGGTGACGTGATACAGTGGGTGTGTGTGGATGTATCGTGTTGTTGGTGTAGATATGAATTTTGAGCTTGATCAACAATTTACTTACACCGAATTATCGATCCCAAGGCATACATGGTACTGCGCACACAGACATTAACGCAGATAACGTTCAGAGAAATTTCAAAAAAAACATTTTTCAAAATTTTGCTGTTGACTCTTTGACTTTTATTAAATTATATATATATTGATTAGTTTATTGTTGGGTGTGTTTTGGGTTCTGCGAGTAGGTGTTGGGTGTGATTGGTTAAGTCGCTTTGTTGGGTGTCGAGTAATACAAAATAAAATATAAGTACATACATACAACATAAGTGCAGAGCGGATCGAATCGGATCGGATCGGATCGGATCATATCGGATCGGATTAAATCAATCAGCAGCCATAGAGTTAGTATATATCATTGGCCGAATTAAATTGCATGCAAGCTGGGGTGGACAGTGCAGGATACATATATTCAAAACTGATACATACATATCATCAGGGTACCATCACATTCCAATAACGTTGGGATGAGTATGTATATCGGTTGGTTAATCATAGATTGTTAAGTAGGATCGTTAACATTTTTACAACCTGACAAGTTTCTTAAAAGTGTACGGCAATACATCCAGCTAACATATAGGTACGATTTAAAGTACATAAATTAACTCAGCTTGTGGGGAATGACGAAAAACTCAGCTCACAAAAGATCATTCCCTGATTATTGGCCTATTCTACGTGCCTAACATCCTGGCTACTCCTTAGACACTATCACAGTTGGCAAATAGTTTGTTAGCACATACAGTATGCGATGTAAAAAGCCCTAGCATATATTTATAGGTATATGTATGATATGAACGCGTCGGTTCTTAGTAGGTACTGGATGCGAATTAGGGGAAATAGTCCCACACGGAATGCATATTACAATACTATACAATGCACACTTATCAGATAATGGATAGCACTAGTAAAATAATTCGATTTGCTTTGCCTTCGATGTAGAGAGTGCCCAGTGGCCAGTGACCAGTGACCAGTGACCAGTGGCCTTCACATGTGCAGAGTGGCCGTTGTGGGTGACGTGGCGGTGGATCTGGCGCCACGGGCCACTGCGATGGGCACTGTACCTCCCCACCACTTCTGTCGCTGCCTGTGCCGCTGCTGCTGCTCCGTGTCCACCTCCAGCTCCAGGTTCTCCACCCGCAGGTTTGTCTCCACACTGGACCTCGACTCCGGGTTGGTGCGCTGGTCATGGGAGAGCAGGGCGTGGCTGGATCGTATCAACTTGCCGAGGGCGTATCCGAAACCAGAGTCACTAATGCGTCGCGTAGTGCAGGGATTTGAAATGGGTATATGGATCGATTGAATGCATGGATTGGGATTCGGGGGAACAAACATCGCCGACAGGGATTGATGGGGGGATAGAGGAAGACAGAGAGATTACATTTTAGGGATTTCAATTCATTAGATACTTGCTCAGGGTGATGCAGTCGAACACTGAGTAAGTCTGATTCTGATTCTGATTAATGCTGGCTGTTTTTTGTTTTGTTCTTGTTTTTGTTTTGTTTTAACTTAATAAAATTGTGTTTGTTTCTTCAAATGCGCTGATTTTATTCAATGACAACAGCTAGGCGACACAGCCAATTGTAGTTTAAATTTTAATTCTAATTGCATTCAAAATTGCTCAATAATGTCTACAAAATGCGTATCAAACATAAAATTTACGTATAAAATTGGGTATATTTTATTAGCTAGTTGTGCTATGTTTATGTTACACATGAATGACGAGTAGAGAAAGTGTTTAACAACTTATCTTACTCTAAACTCTATAACTATTTACACATTTATCTGCTAAGACTATGTCAGTTTTTCTTGTCTGTATCTCTTTTAAGCTTAAGCTTAATGTGTGTAATTCCGTTTCTTATTCGTACATATCCTGGTTTAACATTTCGTGTTAGTTTTTCATTGTGTATTCACTTTTAAGTATATATATTAGGTGTATATATTTGGAGCAATTTTCGTTGGCCAATATTCAAGACGAGTCTTTGGTTTTACACAGTAAGCACTAACATACATCGAAAGTTGAACAAACACAATTCGAGGAGGTGGCAGTGCGATAACGGAATGAATTGGATTAAGTTAATGCATATATGGCCCAAACAAACGCTAATAAATAACTAAGGTAGGATGCTAAATTGGTGCAACGACTACAAGAAGCAGGATACTGAGTGCAGGCACATATGTTCAATCAGCCTTGATTCGGGTTGAAGGGATTGGGTAGAAGAAATATCAACGTCTTAGGGGTCTAGTTAATATTCAGCAAATGCGCAACAATTCAAATTGAAAGTATAGTTTGAATTTGTTTTTGGACAAACAGAAACTAAATACATATGGAGGTATGTACGTAAGGGACCCTCCGGCCTCCGGAGGAGAAGCGTGACTACTGGGGTCTGGAAGGCGATTGCTTCGATACTTACGAAGAACGCGGCTCGTTCATCACTTCGGAGATGTCGCTGCGTCGGATCTCCGTTTCGCGAACAGCCTCCGTGAGTGTCTTGAACACGGTGTTGTGTACGCTGAAATAGAAACCAACGATTTAGCTAGTGTTTAATGGTTTTCGTCATCAATTACTAACAGTTTGCAGATGACATCCACCAGCAGCGTGGTGATGGGCACCAGCATCAGGCCGAAATAGAAAACTGGCGTCGACAGCAGCTGGATGTCCATGCCGCGGAAGTTGCTGGCAAACTTGAAGGTCGGCCACACATGGCTGTAGATCAGCAGGAATCCGAACCACAGCACAATGGAGCCCCAAATGGCCAGATGCGTCAGCCAGGTCCACGAGTTGGTAATGAGTCCAGCCTTGAGGCAAACTGTGACAATCACATACTGCAAGAAATAGAATGGTTGGCTTTGCTTAAATCAAAGGAGAGTACTGGTATTCAAAACCCTCACCGTGTAGACAAGGTTGCCCATCAGCAGGTAGTCACTGGTCTTGCCATCGCCCCAGATCACCTCGCTGCTGTAGGCAGCCAATGGCAACCAGAAGAGGAACACCGAGTGCAGCAGCGCATTGAATATCCAGATCCAGAAAACCTTCACGTTGAAGAGTTTCGCATTCTGCGACGTTTTGTACAGTAGTGGATACCGGAGCATCGTCTCCGCCGTGCAGAACTTCTCGAAGAGACCCATTGCAAACGGCGGCATGGCCGTAAAGAGCACATTGTACAGGCCAATGGTCCAGCGCTCGAACAGTATTTGACCCGACCATCCGGAGTAGAGGGCAAACCACAGCTCGATCACGTACAGGCACACGTTCTTGTAGAAGCTGTACAGGATCAGCTTGGAGATGCGTGCGTAGTTCCAGGCGCCGTGAACCAGAAGCAAGCGCTGCAGATAGCGAAACTGGGCGATCGAGTAGTCCGAGGCGCAGGCCGCCTGCAGACCCTCCACTCCAGATATTCCGATGCCCACATTGGCCTTCTGGATCATGGCCACGTCGTTGGCTCCATCGCCAATGGCCAGGGTCACCGCCTTCGTGCTCTGGGTGACCATCTCGACCACCTCGGCCTTTTGCATTGGCGACACACGGCAGCAGATGACCACGCGGCACAGGATACACAAGTCCTGGAAATCGTTGCGCAGGTCACAGCTCAGGGCGTACTTTAGGGTAGTGCCATCAATGACCAGCGCCACATTTGCATCCTTGGCCGTCGAGGTCTTGAACTCCCCGTAATGACGATGGATAACTTCGCGTGTGGCCTACAAGAAATATTGTAATCCACATATTCAGTTGGTATAACTATATCTACATATAAAAATAAAAAATTGAAAGAGACTCACATCAAGACTCTCCTCGTTAAGGATGATAATGTCCATGGAGTGACTGATCAGCCGGCAGGAGTAGCCAATGTTAATGGCCGTCTCCTGCTTGTCGCCGGTGAGTACCCAGATGTAGATGCCGGCGTCCAGCAGGGCAGCAATCGTTTCCGGCACTCCATCCTGCAGCCGATCCTCGATGGCCGTGGCGCCCAGGAGGCGCAGATTGTTCTCAATCAAATTGGCCGCATCCTCCAGCTTGCTCTCCCGGTTCTGCAGCGCCACCGAGGCCTTGTGGAAGGTCTGGCGCCACTCCTGGTACACGTCCGGCCGGATATCGGCCACCGCCAGGCATAGGGTCCTCAAGCCGTCCGAGGCAAACTCCTCTAAGTGGCGCAGCGTCTGGTCGCGGAAGGCTTGACCCTGGGGCGCCAGCCGCTCGTAGATCACCGTGTCGGCTCCCTTGCAAAAGAGCTTGATCTTGTTATCCGGCGTTCGGACAATCAGCGACATGCGCTTGCGCGTCGAGGTGAACTCGAGGACATTCAGCACCTCGTACCGCTTCCGCTCGCCCAGCGCATTGATCTCCACGTACTCCGGAGTGCGCGTGTCGAAGATGTAGCCAAATCGCTGGGCTCCCTCCACCAGAGCCCGCTCATCCGGACTGGCGGCGTGGTAGATGATGGTGCCGTCCTCCTTGCGCTCGGGTATCACCGTATGGCACACGGACAACAGCACCAGGAACTCCTCGATGACGGCGGCAGTCTGATGGCGACTCAGAATGTTCTGCACCAGTTGCGACTCCTCGGGCGTGCGCTCCGTTGTGTAGACGTAACCGGCGATGGAGCACTTCTTGAACTCCATCACGTTCTGCGTGAGGGTGCCCGTCTTGTCCGAGAAGATGTACTTGACCATGCCCAGCTCCTCGTTCAGGTTCGATGTGCGAGCCATGGCCGGCGTGTTCGACTGCTCGTGGTACATCTCGATGTCGTAGTTGATGAAGATGGCCTGCAGGAAGCGCACCAGCTCAAGGGTCACCTGCAGCGAGATGGGGATCAGGTTGTTGTACAGAATGAAGAAGGTGAGCAGATTGTAGCCAAGGCTCCTGGTCTTGAAGTCGCTGAGCGCCAGGTACCAGTCCGTTTCCCAGTGCTCCCGCGTCCAGAACAGGTTGCACAGACCGCTGGTTATGCACAGCGAGATGAGGATCATGAACAGCATGAGGATCTGCGTGTTGGTCAGCTTGTCTACGGTGGAGCGCTTTAGTGGCGCCGAGGTAGAGTTCTTCATCAGCTTCGTCTCCTGGCCGGAGTAGACCACGATGCCGAACACCCAAGCCGTGTTTCTTAAAATGGCACCGCGCTGCAGCATCTGATCATTGCCCAAAGCAACAGTTCTGCAACAGGAAGATTTAATATCATGCGTTTAATAGGGAAAATATATATTTTAGATTCTATATATCATAACAAAAGTAAGCTTTAGGGTTAAAGTTGCATATGAGTCAAAATCCCATAGCCATAGCGTTTAAAGATCAGATTTTCATGGAACTTTTTGCCATTCTTGGATCAGAAAGATAAAAGGGTTAAAAAATTCCAATTTTACACTTCTTTGCACCTACTCTTTATTTAATAACTTTTGATAGAGAGAAGTTATCCTATTCACTGCTTAAAAAAATGTCCATATATATTAAAAAAAAAATTGTTTACGTGCTTCAAAAAAGAGGAAATTTTCACTCATATGTAACATGATATTAGCAAGATTCTTTATATCCTTTGTTTAATGTTCATATTTGAATAAAATACAATGCTATTGCTTCTAAGAGAAAATAATTACAAGTACATGCATTTTAGTAACAATGTTATTGTTTCTAAGAGAAAATAATTAGAAACACATTCATTTTAGTTACAATGTTATTTTTTCTAAGAAAAAATAATTATAAATACATTCATTTTAGTTAAGAATAGGAATATAAATCATATATTAGTTTGTACATTATTGTAATACATTGCTGCCCTTTTGCCATACATAGAAGATAAAATCTTGAATTGCAACATTCCCAAAATAAGTTCTGAAATTCGTATATCTTTCTGTTTGAATTTTTGAGATTTAATTTGCTTTGTTTTGTGTTTTTTTTAAAACTTTTTAAATAGCCTCTAAATATAGATGATTTACTCACTGTTTGCCGGTCTCCTTGAGAACCCCATTAAACTCGTATAAATGCCGGTTGGGCAGCTCGCACTCGATCCTGCCCTCCAGTCGTTGCAGGTCCTTCGTCTCCAGCAGTCCTGCGGTGGCCGGTAGTCCCTGCCGGATCTTCAGGTTCGTCTCCCCATCCAGATTGGCCGTCTCTATGAAGCACATGGCCTGCGGCTCACTGTTGGCGATTCAGAGGTCAATTGTCTGCTAATTGGGGTTAACTTGGGAACGCACCTGGACGACAGCAGAATCAGATCGGCGGGGAAGAAGGTATTGATCCCCACTTTTATGATATCGCCCACCGTCAGCTCCGACCAGCGCACTGTGCTCCAGGAGCCACTATCCAGGCGTTCGATCATTCGGTGATTGATCTCATTATCTGCGCGATGTCGTTTCTGTAAAGCAAATACCAAATAAACATATACATTTGAAGAGTAGGAGTTAACCAAATTAAAGCACTTACGATATCCTCAATTATCTCCTTAATGGCGCTCACAGAGAGGATGAACATCAGCGGCACCAATGTGGTGTAACGACCCGTTGGCGATACATCCGGAATCTGTTGCAGCATGGCAATTAGCAGGAAAAAGCAGTTCGAATACCGCCGAAACTGCTCAAACAGGAACGCGGGCAAAAAGCTGATAAAACTGCAAGCGACCAACACAATTAGTTGGTTAGTTTGGGTCTAATCCACCAATTTAGGTCGTGATAAATGATAAGTGGCAAATGATGGGCACACACTCACCTATACTTTGCCGTCGTTATGCGATTATTACAGTATTTAGAGGGCTGTGGCCCATTAATGACTATGACACGCCTCTCCCCATCATCTGCATCGTAGCCGGCGGACGACGTAAAGTCCTCATCATCTGAAAGTATCCATTAAAGGGCGGTTAATAAGTGATATCGAAACGAGAGTGGCGTTATTTGGAACTGTGACCAGCAAAGCTTCTATCAACTGCATATTTTTTGGTGATTAGTTATCGCTGATTATCTGTTAAATACTACAGTTAGTGTTCATAGTCGATTAATGTTTCAGCAGTAACTGACAAAGACATTATAATAATGTGAAAAGAAAATAAAACTTTAGTTGATTAATTCGCTGAATATCTATTGATCTTCTACTGATTATCTATACTAGAATTAAAACTATATTACAAGCCGTTACAAATATGAGGATGATAATATTCACTCCCCACAAACACCAAACCTCTCTGGAAAACAAGATAATGAAAAAAATATTTGCAACCACAAAAAAAAGTACAACTTTATAGTATAACTCGGCTATTATTCCACTTTATTCCATTTCCGCTGCTATAAACTGAGGTGTCCATCGCCACTGCCATTCCGCCAAAAAGAAATTGGCAGCAATGGGGTTGCCCAAGGCGTACTTCCGGGCAAATCGGTGACAATCGAACTTATTGCGACTTGCTCTCTCGCCCTCGGGAATAAGGACCTCGTCGAAGTCCAGCTTCAGATACTGCTTGAAGGCCAGGAAGACGATTCGATGAATGCTGCGACTTTCCATGGACCGTCGGTTGTCGTAGGCCGCAAGCGTCTGGCCCCGGTTCACATCGCAGCCCGGAATGTTGCCCACCAGCCAGATGAGCGACTCCCTCTCTGGGGGCACGTCCAGGTCGAGCACCATCAGCGTATAGAACCGCACCGGGTCGGCCTTGTACCGGACGATCGGCAGGTTGACCACGTCGTTAATGACAAGCGTTACGCCCGGTTTGATCGAAATGTCGCAGGGATATTGCACATTGATTATCTCCGTGGGCTTGCAGGCCAACAGCTCGGGGATAATCTTGTGCTTCTTGAGTTCTGCCACCAGTTTGATAACTGGACTAACAACCGGGCAGGTCACCAGCATGGTGAATGGAATTTACAAAAATTTTGGTGACAAGAAAGTCCAATCGAAAGGGGGGAGCCTGCCTTGCTATTTGAATGATATGATTGATGATATAAATTCCTTCCTGAAACTTTTTTCTTTTCAATTGCTTTAAATTCCATTTTAAAAAAATCCAGTTTTCCGCTGTGTTAGATCAATAAAAAACGATCATTGAAAACATTTAAAAATCCAGCGAAATTCCTTATTGGTTTTTTCTTTTATCAGCTTGATTTATTTACTGAATCATTTGTACTCATTGTGCTTGAAGCTTGAAATAAAAAGTGTAATTTTTGTAAAGCAAACTTTTTTAACACAAGATTGTAATATTTCAAATGGTGGTTTAAACTTCCAAATCCCTTTGTGTGTGAGCCCACTGAAAAAAAATTGCCGAGACTAGGACACTTACGACTCCAACGGATACGCAGCGCCTTATAGACATTGCGAAAGTCCATGTTGACCCGACGAAAATGGGCGAAACACCTGAAGCGTCCCGATGGATTCCCAGATGGCGCCGCTACCACAGACTCCACCGTCTCCTCCTCCGCTTCCGCTTCCTCTTCCTCGGGCCCTGGTAACTCGTCGGATCCAGAGTCGCAATCGCCCACGGGTACGAAGGCAATGCTCTCGCCGGCGGTCTCCTCCTGATTCCGCTGATTCCGCTGGGGAAACCCCAGGATGGAGGACAGCTCCAGGTTACTGGCTCACCGGCAGGGATAACCAGCCACAAGTGGGCGTGACAGCCGAGAGCGGTATAAGAGTAGTTGCGTAGGATGGCGCCTGCGCTCCCTTTTTTTCAATCACTGCGTATAAGAAAACACATTTTCCATCCCGCATACGGGGGATTCTGTGGCATGCACATTTGCATATACACACGGCCAAGGAAAGTGACTTCTTTAGATCACTATTTGGACATTTAATAAGAGTGCTTCATTAGTTTTTCATCCCTAGCATCTTGGGAGGAATAACATTTATGCATCCATCACCTGGCAACGTGCCTGAACTAATCTTCAGTTTCAGGTATCGATTTGTCGCAATTATGTTAACTGGGCTAAGCACGTGATGTTCTGCTGAACTGATTTATAACGATTCGATTTAAAGGTATTGACTTCTTTGCTAATTGCAATGGCGACATTGATTGGCAAACGATTACTTAAAGTTCCTTCAAAGGTAGATAAATATTTTGCCACAAGAAAGCACTGTCTTTAAACGGTGAACTTTTTACTACGTGCGCTCTCCTGAGCTCCGATACTACGACTGAAACCAAATTTCAACGTGCTCGAAAAACCCAGAAAGGACAACAGGGATGGGTAAGGTAAGGGGGGTAACCCGTTTTACGCTCAGGTTGAGAGCCCCCTCCAAGTCACCCCTCCGCCCCACAAAGCTGCGTAGTGCATTCTAAAAGGAGCTTATAAAGCTTACGAATTATCAGTCAACCCAAAACATTGCGTACCACAGGGGTTTTCGAAATGCAGGAGCAAAAGCGAAAGCGAATGAAAGTAGCAAAACAAAAAGCAAGAAACAAGGGGGTGAGAGTCAAAAGAGAGCGCGTCTGCGCCTTGCCACAAAAGCTATACAATAAGGGAAAACATACTTGCCAAAAGACTCGACCAAAGTGCTACCCCTTTGTCAATCCCTTTAACACAATTCCTATTGAGTTAGAAAATTACACCTTAAAAAATCCCTTTGGTGCAAAAAGAAAAGCAAAAACTTCTTATCAACAACTGGATCTGGGAACTTTATGTATACAAATTCTTAAAACAAATTGCTTGGGTTCTTTTTGAAGAGACAAATTCCTGATATAAGCCAACAAAAAAACATTAGTCATGTCATGTTGCCCAAGCAATCTGATCAAAAGGAATTCGGAAAGTAATGGTAATCATAATAAATTATACTTTTCTAAGTTTTCGCCGTGCCATTGCTGTGTCAGCTCTGGTATTTACACTGCTTTAAAATTTTTTACCATTGTAATTTGTTAATGAATGATAATAACATTGAATAATGATAAAACTATTTAGTTTTGCTAGATTTATTTTAGAAGAACAAAACCTCATACGCCTTCAGCGAATATGTGTGACTTTGATTAGCCTTTTTGTTTCTCATGACTCAGAATAGTCGGTTTAAGACAAAAAAGTAAAATTAAAACGATTTGTTGTGAAAGCGCTATTATTATATAATAGTATAGAAAATGAAGAACCTTTTCGTTTTTTCCTTCCGAGGCCTGTTTTTTTAAGGAGACTTTTCATGGAAATCCTACTGCTCGCCTGTGGTGGTTCGCTGAGCCTGCGATGGGGATTGTTGCCGTCGGTCTCCGTGACACCCGTTCCTCTCCTAGATGACGCAGCCTGATCGTTGCCCTCGGGCCGTGAACCAGGCGGAACTCGGTCCTCTCCTCCTCCGGAAGGAGCCATCTCCGGACCCGTGGTGGCTGTTCGCCGAAGGACTTGGCTTCTCAGTTGCCGAACACCGCCGCCAATCCAAGACTGTACACTTGGCCACAAACTCCGGGCATCGAAGGTGGCTTGGCTGGCGGTCGGATTTTCCAGGCGCTGACCATGTCCGTTGCGCCCATTGTGGGCGTGGTTGCGGCCACTGCCCGCTCCGTTGTGTCCGCCACTCTCGTTTTTGCCTGGGTTAGCCATTCTAACATGGCTCCGCGAATCACATGAGTCGCACTACAATTAGTTCCTTACAATTTTCACTTTCCGGATCTTATCTGCTGCGACACGACACGAATCAATTAGAGAGTTCAAACGAAGGACCGCCGAGACTTTTCGCAATCGCGAAATTCTATTGCACTTTGGATTTTGCGTTTAACTGTCATTTTAATTCGGCGTTGAGTATTTCTTTCCTCTCATTTTTTGCTTGATTTTCAGTAGCTTGCTGGGTTAATGCACATGTGAATAATTAAGGGCTGAACACGTTTATTTTTAATATATTTCGAAGGGTTAGGCCCCGCATTTTTATCTTTGATTAAAATTGCACGCAAAATTTGAATATTAGTCATCTTAAAAACACGCAACCAAGTTCAAGTTACTTATACATTTAAAGGAAATATCTCGCTTATGAAATCGTTTAATAGTGATAATAAATTGCATGTTTATAAATAAATCTCGATCGCTTACATCAAAACAGCTGCAGTAATTAACAATGAATGAACAAATTTAGCACGACCTAATAATTGTGATACCTACATTAGTCTGAATAAAAAGGCTCTGTTGATATGGTTTTCACTTTCCATTATTTTAAATTTAGCGCTAAAAAATAATGGATACTTGTAATCTCTGGGTAATTCTGTTGATAAGTTTTACATTCGTCCATATTTTTAAATTATGAACTTAAGATTAATTCATTGATATGGAACAATGATGTAGTGAAAAGTTTAAATTTCACCAAAAGAATTGCTTTTAATGCAATATTCAACCTAAGACTCAGTTTTTGTGTAACTGCTTTTCTCACTGCCCTATATCGATTTCCTGTCCACTTAAACTTGTAATTGAACTGTAATTAGGTGAAGAATAAAATCAAACAACCAATCAACAATTCAAAATGCAGTTCAAAAATGGCATTAAGAAATCTGATATCCTATATAGGTATATATATTAACACAGGCGCTTTAAGGCAGTGTCTACGCAATTTAGTTTGGATTAATTACCCCTTGGAACCGACCAGTTCCCTCAGGAACTTCGACTCGTGCCTGTAGGTAAACACGACAGGTAGACAGCCATAACAAAAATTAAAATATGATTAGTTGCGTGGGCGAGCAGGGTAGTCCAGCGAACAACGAACTCGGAAATCAGAAGCTAACGAAGCGCCTCTGGGGCTGTCTGCGCTGACCAAGCGATAAAGGAAGTATTCTATTTGCGTGCACTGTACGTGTGACCTACGTGTTTTCCGGCCATTACTATATGGTCACCCAGAGCAACAACAAACCAACCAAATTATGGCAGCCGCATAGTCATAAAAACGTCCATCAGGGGTTCGATTTAGTCAGGATTTTCGCGTAGCAGTGCCCACTCGAGAATGGCAACTGCAACCTAGGGTCGTTGGGGTTTATCGATTGCTCCAGTTTCTTGGAAAATGCCTTGCATTCTGCGAGCACATGTAAGTACCTCTAATCAACTCCGGATGGCCTTGACACAAACACACGAACGCAATTACACTTGGGCTGGAAAATCGACTAAATTATATATCCAATTGGGCTTATTAGCCTTTAATATTTATAGGTTCTCCATGGGTGCAGTTACATTTGAGAAAATAGGAAGGAAACCTGATGGTATTTCTATTGGCTTTTCCTCTTTTGGAGTCTGACGCAAATCGGTTCAAGTAGATATATCTCGTAAACAAACATATGTAGCAATAAATATATACATATTCGCGACGCTATTAAAATTTATTCTGCCAGCCGCGACGGCGTCTAAAAATACCACCATAGACATAAGAATAAATAGGTATTTTGGATTCATTCCAAGCGAATTTACTTATTTGTGGATTTCATATAAATCCAACCGAAAGTATGCCAAAAGGGAGTGCATACTGTAAGAAAAACAATCTTTACTGTGGAAAAACAGAACTAATTATATAGCTGTCGTAATTCTCGCTGGCCTGAGATCTTAAATTAAACATTTGGCCTGCACTAAACCGGCAAAACAGTTTAGCACTCGAACAGCAATGAGATGGGGAATGGTTTTCCCTAACGAGAGGTGATAATTATGGCCCAGCAGTAATGAGTACAGTACATTGCGTCTGTACTTGTACTGCTTATCTGAGAAAGGTAAACAGATACAATATATATACACTGCAAACCCTCGATGGTGTCAACGCTGTCATGGGGAAGGTAATGTCGGATTCTCAAGACGACAAAGGCGTCCACGGACAATCGATACAAAATTACTGGCAATCGACCAACATTACTTAGCTGTGTCATCGTTTGTTTAGTTGGCCCACCGCGAAAGCCCGCATTTCCAGGAACACATTGAGGGCATTAGAGTAATGCTAGGCTAGATGACTACTGTGAGTTCTTATATAAGTACAGGGTGAGTCAAAGTAGAAGTGCATATACCCCTCAAGTTTCCCAGCTGCATGGAAAGTGCAGGGCAGCGTGACGAAATTGTCAAGTCATTTATTTTAATTTTTGTGTATATTTAGCACAACATGTTTTGTTTTCCCTTCGGCTTTCAATTAATTAATTTTTGTCTTGGCAAATAAAAGCAAAAGTGACGAATGTTTATGAAAAAAGAAAAAAACTTTCTACTCAGCAACGATTTTGGCAGCCAACGGGCATTGATCAGCTGGGGATTAACTATACTATATACATATATATGTATACAGTATGCGAATTATGTGTCACAACGGTGACGAACCGACTCACTAACATTTACCTTCGAGTCTGTTGATCTGCGAGTTACCAGAACACTGATATATAAGTGACATATCGCCCAGCACTTAACGGATGACACTAACCGATCTGATCCACACGCCCCTTCAATTTCTATGAGACGAATGCAATTTACCAGTAAATTAGTTCACACATGCAACTGCAAATGCGGCTAATGCCCGATAAAAGGGAAAAGAGTCGCTAGAAGAGAGCGTACAACCGATGACGCCAACAAATGGCAAAGAAAACTGGTCTGAACAGCATTTACAATTAACAACAATTGCAATTGCAAAACAAAAGAGCGCTACTTAACATTGAAAGGATCGGGAGAGTAAGAGAGTAAGAGAGTAACAGGCTAAAGCAAATCGACTTTCCAATGAATGGATGACAATAAGCGCGCTTTCAATTTGCTTTTTATTTTTTTTTTTGCTTTTACATGGATAAAAAAACCTTCCCCAGGGTCAGGGTGTAGTAATTTAGCATTTGTAAATGAAAGAATGCTTTCTTTAACACTGGCAATGGGATTTTTACCGCTGTTTCTAACATATTTTGGGTACATTTAAATCATTGGATATTGGTAAAAAAAAAATAATAATAAAAAAAAACACTATGCTACTAGTTGTTCGTTATCAATTCCTGGTATTACTGTTTTCTGTGTCACAACATACTTGTATTTCGAAAAAAAATATTTTTTTAAAAAAATATAACTAGTTTTTATAGACGCGTGTGTGCTTTTAATCTCTTCGCGTGTACACTTTATTACGCATTGAATCTTTTAATGGAATCATTTTCGCAACATATTTTTTCACTGTGCATGTACCATGCTGTACATTTGATTATACAGCTGCTACTCTTCATTGGTCGTAGCATAGCGTAGCATATGAAAATCAAACGATAAATTGACGCGACAACACTTATTTTCGTGCATACGAAACACGCTGTGGGGTGGTGGTTATCCATGCAACAAATGTCCCATTTAATACTCGGATAATTACATTTGACCTTTCGCGGCGCGTTTGTGGGTCTATTCAAATAACCGTCACTAATATCCGCTAGCGATTTGCGTTTCGGATGACTGTGCATCACTGAGATCACCGAAAAGTCAGTCGTACATTCTGACTAAGTAGCTGATATCCAGTATTTACTTTTGTAAATAACAATTCGCGTTGGCTCAACACGTCGACCTCGTTAACCGGTCCAAAATGCGTCCGTTGCGTCCGCTAGCACGACTTTTTGCTTGGCGGTTCATAAAGCGACTGAAATACTGAAACGCTGAAAAACTAAACAACTGAGCAGAGAGCGCCGAGTGGCGAAGCAACAGAGCAGCCTGGCATCAAGTGTTCGCCACTGTGGGGTGTGGGGTGAGGCGGATTTTGATTTTTGTAATAGCGGGCGGCGATAGGTTGCCAGACCGCGGGAAATAACCGCTCAAGAAATCAATTTTAGTTAAAGGTTGGCCCTTTGTTACTGCTCTTTAATGACTTATCAAGATTTACATACACGCAATACTGTTGGTAATTAGTTATCACACATCTGAATGCCAGAATTGAAAGGCAAGGTGTCAGGCTGACAAATGATGTAGAAGGACTGAGGAATAAGATAAAAAGTAATCGTCCCTTGGCATTAAGTAGAGCTAAAAAATTTAAAAAAAAGTTCAGACTGGCCCATGAGGGGATCGAACCCGCGACCTTCGCGTTATTAGCACGACGCTCTAACCAGCTGAGCTAATGGGCCATGAGTGTATGACTGCCAAAAGGCGCATTAGAGTAGAAAGCTAGGTCAAGTTGACTTTAAAAGTCCAAAATAAAGCGAAATCTCAGCCACAAAAGCATTTGCTTGAATGTTTAAATGTATATTATGTGTTTTTCATATTTAATATTTCTATATTTATTTAACATTTTACACAGATATTAACAAATTCTCGATTCCCCTGAGATGTTGGTTTTTGAAACTAAATGTTGACAGTCATGTCATAGGATGTTTATGAACTTAAGCATGGGGAAAACACAGACATATTTTTGGTTGAAATTAGCTTTAAACTTGTAAGAAGCGAAGACATTCCTGTTTTCGCCGAAAGTAAAGAAATCATTTTAATTTTTGAAAATAAAATACAAAAATTGTTCAATTTTATTTGACGTCTAATGAATGACTCCCAACTAACTTATTAATCATGCAAAGATTCTTGTCTAGGTCGCTCACTAGCTTTTGACCTATTAACAAGTTAACTTAAGACTCTAACATTATATTAAAAACAAATAAATCTTATCTAAATGCAAAAAGTAAATATTTCATTTGCACTACTTTCACTTACACAGCATTAAAATAAAATAAGAGAGCAAAAAATTTTGTCAGAAGTGGGATTCGAACCCACGCCCTCAGAGAGGACCAGAACGCTCACACACTTTCGTTCAGAAAGCAAGATTTGACATCTTGAGTCTGGCGCCTTAGACCGCTCGGCCATCCTGACATATGGCACTCAGCTGTCCGAAGCGCTAGTAGTGTGCGCGAGTATAGCAGAGTATAACAGTATAAGGCCAGTTCTGCTACGCGGTATGACAGTTTCTGCTAACATTACAGGCACTGTTAATTGTAACATGGCAGGTCTGTTAACTCTATTCTTTACTGAAATACGGCTTTTGACAGCGACTTTCCCATGGCCCATTAGCTCAGCTGGTTAGAGCGTCGTGCTAATAACGCGAAGGTCGCGGGTTCGATCCCCTCATGGGCCAGAATGATACTCTTTTTTTATTACTTTTTTTTAATGCACTTTGGAAATTAAAAAGTTTATATAGGTTTGATGAGAATGTGTCTTGTTAGTAAACCCAGATAAGCAAAGCCCAATTATAGACGGCTTCCAATGTTATCTCATGTCGTGCACGTAATTTCATCAAGTATCCTGCGATGATGTCACTTGGACCGGACAAGGATGATCTAACGTGGTATATTTCTTGCAGGGCAGCTAAGTGAAATGTCAATTCAGTTTGCCATCAAGGATGATTGAATTACCCGTCCCTTCAGTTTCTCAACTGCTGCGCGTGTGGGGTATCTTAATTTACTTTGGCAATCAAGCTAAACGGTTTATTGAGCGATCTTATCTGCGCAACGAGTTGAAAACGCTTTTAGGCCATAGAATGGCAAACAGTGAAAATCCGAATTTATGGGATTATATTCTCATTTTTCTTTGCGTTCCTTAAATCTAGTATTTGGGCGCCACCAAAATCATGTGTCAGGATGGCCGAGCGGTCTAAGGCGCCAGACTCAAGATGTAAAATCTTACTTTCCAAACGAAAGTGTATGAGCGTTCTGGTCCTCTCTGAGGGCGTGGGTTCGAATCCCACTTCTGACAAATATTTTTTAACCCAACCAAGAGAACGAATAAAAATCTATTTATTTTATTTTGTTATTAAATTCTATAACTTCTACAGAAGATTATCCGATATTTTCAAGTTGAATAGTTGTGCGCTCGCTCCCCACTTTTATTGTCATTCGAAACTTTTAACGCGTTTTTTTCGAAACCGTGTTTTCAAAGTCGGTTGTCAATATTCCTCGCGAACTACGGAGCCGCTAATTATGAAATTATTTTACAGGTCTTCGATATATTATTTACAAGGTCTTGCCAAACGAAATAAGTATTTTTGGTAAAAACCTGTTTCCAAAAATTCATTTTTGTTTTCCTATGTCCAATATTTTTATTTTTTACTTCTGATGATCGTACAAAACGTTCTGTTGTCAATTCGGAGAAACATTTTTTCGTGATGGCAAAGTTTAAAAAAAATTTTGTTTTAATAAAAAAAGTTTGAACAACATATTTTATTTTTAAGATGAAAAAAAACTATTTTAAATTGGCCGTTTAAAATATGTATGCTGTCCTTTTCTCCTTTCTTGTTTTGTTTAAAAATAAATAAAATGTATTGAATTATTTTAGACTTTAGTTTTGCCTTGCCGGAAAAGAATTAATCTATGTAGACTGTGATTACCACTCAAACCCAAATACTCAATCAGAGCCATATTAAAAACTGACATTGTATAGCAATATTTTTCCACCAATTTAAAAAATGTCAGAAGAGCAGTTGAGCTCGTTGCGCAAGCCCATCCCTATTTTGAGGGATGAGGAGGATAAAGATGGAGGAGGAGGTGACGGCGGCGGCGAGGAGAGCTTAAAACCTAAGAAGCACGTCAGTTTCAATCGGGTGGTAGAATGCTTCACCTACTCGGAAAACTTGACCAGCTGGAAGAGACGCCTGATGCCCGACAACGACTTGGTGATTATGGATAACGCTACCAAGACCCGCATATTGAATTTTAAACGTTTTTTCAGCGCCGAGCCATGCCGCCTGAATCGAAGACTCGCAGACGGATACCTTAGTCCAGTTTTCGACTCCATCCCACCATGACGACCATATTGCACAGTCAACACTGAATAAACACAAACCACCAGCGGAAGTTGTTAACTGAACGTGACACTTTTAACCTAATTGGGGAATAAACGGCTGTCCGTATCCTTCCGGGGAAAGGGATGTGGACCTGTCAGTTGTTTTTAATGCACTTCCCATGTTGGCTAGGAAGCGGAGCAAATGGCCAATAAGTTATTCATGATTGGTATTTATTTATTTTTTTTTGTGTGTTCGTATTAAAAGCATCAGCCAGTCTGCTCTGGGCTACGACCATATTGGCCTTCGATTCAATTCAAAACACGTAAATGGACATGCGATTTACAACGTTTTCTGTGTGCCGAACGGAAGGAGTAATCTGCATTTGAAATATTTACAATTGGTAAGGCCCGGCCAGTTGGAGGACAGAGTTAAGAGTGGATTGTGGCCCGTTTGAGACGTCAAAACAAGCATGGTTACGATAAGGCTTTACACTGCAACTGACCTATCACACCGAGTCGGTTAGCAAATCGATAGCCAGCCGGCAATTTAATGCACCCATAATCCTGCCAGCACCTGAAGACAACTGCCGAATGATGGGACCCATGGCAATCGGCTACTGATATTGATGATATATGGCCGTGTCATTTGACTCCCTTATCCGCACGGGCAGAACCCAATGCTAATCGCCATTTTGCGGCTATAAAAGGCCCTCGAGAGCCGTTAGTTTGCCACCAAACGACAAAGAGCACTACCACTACTGACTACTGACATGTTCCTCCAGATTGTGACTTTCTTTGCCTTGCTGGCCAGCACTTATGGCGCAGTGATTCCCTTGGGCTTGGAGCCCCAGTTGCCACCGGGTGGCAGGATTGTGGGAGGCATAGCCACGTCCATTGAGCAACATCCCTGGCAGGTTTCCGTTCAGCGTTCCGGTGCCCACTTTTGCGGAGGTTCCATCATCAGCAACAACATCATCGTGACCGCCGCTCACTGCCTGGTTTCTCCGTCCACGGCCTCCAACCTCCGGATTAGGGCTGGCTCCCATAACAGAATCTATGGAGGAGTGCTCATCCAGGTGGCTGCCATTAAAATCCATGAGGGCTACAACACAAACACCATGGTGAACGATATTGGAGTGATGCGTCTGCAGTCGAAGCTAACCTTTGGCTCCACCATGAAGGCCATTGCAATGGCCAGTTTGACTCCACCTCACGGAGCAGCGGCCAGCATCTCAGGCTGGGGCAAGACCGCCTACGATGGCTCCTCCTCATCGACACTGCTCTATGTGGACACCAAAATTGTGGGTCGCACGCAATGCGCTAGCTCCACCTACGGATATGGTTCCTCCGTCATGTCAACTATGATCTGCGCGGCGGCGGCTAACAAGGATGCGTGCCAGGGTGACTCTGGCGGACCTCTGGTCTCCGGAGGTCAGCTCGTGGGCATCGTCTCCTGGGGAAGGGAGTGCGCCCTGGCCAACTTTCCTGGCGTCTACGCCAATGTGGCCGAACTGCGGAGCTGGGTCCTTCAGGCCCAGAACACTGTCTAGTTTAAGTTAGTTTAAGTTAAGCACAATAAAAAACCAATTCGTTGTTGAAAATGCAGCTGGCAGGGCGTTCTTTTCTAGTTCTGCTTCCGCTCATTTGACTGCTCAACAGCAGTGACTTGTGAATCCAGTCCCCAATGCCACACATGGCGGCAGCAGGACGTGCCCTTCCTGTGGGCCACGCCGCTCGTTCATGCAATCTGGGTCAGTCCGCAGGGGCTGGCAGCCGGGTGGGGCTTTAAATTCAGGCGGGGAATTGGGGCGGGACAATCGTAAGCCAGTTACAGCGTTTGCATACTCAAAGCCCAGTACAGTCGAGTGACATGTCTGTCACATGGCCAAGAATGACATAGAAAATCTCTGACTTTCTAATTTGCGCTTTTTCGAACTACACTTATAAAAGTGATTTAAATGAGCTCCTTATATTAAGATTTTAAATATCAAAGTGAACCTTTAATGAGCTACTACTGTCCTTTAAATTTGGTTGTACCAGAAAGCCACTTGTACTTTTTTGATGTGGTCTTTAAAAGTTTAGTTATTTTAGGTAAAGCATTATTATAATTTTTTTGATTTTAATCAATTTTAAATACTTTTATAAGATAGCCCCGGAATAAAATACACAAAACTGTTTGTTAAATTGTTTGTTATAATTATTTAAAATTTTTGATTAATACAACATCCTTAACTTTCTTACTACTACTATTACTATTTAACTCTTTCAAAGTCACTTAGTTAGTTTACCACCACATTTATATCGGACGTAATACCCTTTTAATTAGACCAAGCTGACAACAACTATTAAACATAATAAATTTACAAAGAGCATTAAAGAGTAGGACACAAATGCATTTATTTTGCCATAATGTTCTTATCTTGTCAAAGCCGCAAACTCACGAAAATTCGCCGGAGCCATGTTTAGTTTTATTGAACAGGTTTAACGAAAAATATAGTCGCAAAGCAAATGAAGCGGTTGGCAAACAAATCTCCGGGGTGCATCGGCAGTGAAAAACCGCTCCCTCGCTCCACCTTCGCTCCAGACTATGGGGCGCCAGCAATATTGATCCAAAACGACAAAAGGGAAGCGACAAAGTGGGAAGATGACAGCAGAACCCATGCCCCGACCCACTAGCAGCATCTACAGCAACCTACAGATGGTGACTTTTGCCTATGGAATGCCAGGGATTCTTGGGAATTCAGATGCTACCCCAACTGCCACTCACCTTCGTACTCTGTGCGCTTCCTTCGCAGAAATGAGGCGGTCATTCGCAGGCCCCGATGGGCCAGGACGGAAACCCGACTCCTGCCGCTCTGCCGCGATAGGATGGAGCCCTTGGAATCCTTGCGGTTGGACGACCGCCGATGGGAGGAGATTGTCCCGGCCACAGAGGTGGACACGGACGCTGGTGGCTGCAGACCAGAGACCGGGGTCACCGGTGTATTGGGCGTGTCCGAGTCGATGAAGCCCAGGTTGCTGTTGGCACTGTTTAGGTGGATGCTGGAGTGATCCGTGGGCCCACAAAGCGTGACGCTGCCACCGCTATGGACACTGTGCGACACCGAGGCGGCCAGTTGCTCATCCAGGCCATCCGAGGTGCGGGGAGTCAGGTGCTCCAGGGACTCGAAATCCCGGTTAATGGCCGGAGGCATTGAGTGCCGGAACCAGGAGTCCTGGCGCTGCTGGGTCACGCGTTGCTGCCGACGGCGCTGGCTGGCCGACGATCCCGAAAGATTCCGCAAACGTCCATCAGGATCCCCATGTTGCGGACTGCGGAGCTCCAGGCTCTGGCGCTGGTAATTGGCCGACATGTCAGCTTCTCCAATCAGGGATTTGCTCCCAAGGCACTACTTGGTCAGGGTTCAAAGTCTGCAGGCACTCACAAGGCACTTGTGGATACTAAATCGGTCTCCAAACTCGTTACGTAAGGGCCTCAACCTCTGGCTTGGTGGGGGGTTCCATGGTCGTCTTCAAACCAAATTCCTTAACCAAATTCACATTCCCAATTCGTGGGCCTTGACTCTGACAGGTGTTGAGAACCGGAACAACTGGCAAACCAGACGCTGCCATTAGTCGAGCTATTTTAAAGGACTGTATTCCGGCAAATGCATCAAAAATTCATTGCAGTTTTGACATTTAGGGGTAATGGTGTTTGCTCGTCACGCATATCATATCGGGGCACGCTTTAGCTGGCGGAGACACCGAGTATCTATATAATTTCAAGTGCCTTTATTGCCAGAAATCAATCTTCGTAGCATAAATCTGCGACAGTCTAAATAATTAAATCGTCGCTCAAGGCAAAAACCTTCAGAATATCGAACTGCACTCCCTACTTCAAGTGCCCGACTGCAGTGCTAAATTGAGTATTTACACCTTTCCAATTACGCTACACCGTAATTGCAAAAAGTACGAAAAGGAGTGGGACTGCGGGACCGCATTCAACGATTTCCCACGGCAATGGAAAAACAATTGCTGCTGGCGGAAGCGCCGCAGCCGAAAAAAAACACGTCCACACCGAACCGAAGTCAAAAGCCAACTGCGGATCCTCCGCGGGAAAAGGAAAAAAAGGAAAAGGGACAACCCACCGCCGCCTTCGGTCCACGAATACCCGAGCCCTTTAGCCGAACCCGATGTGGACTATGAGGAGTTTTCATAAATATATGTGTCGCTCAGAGGACTGACTACCCGCTGTTCGTATGTGGGGCAGGCACTAAATAAACTACGAGATAAATTGGGCAACTATGAAAATGCGACTGTTTATATTTTACATTTTCCAGGCGAAAGTATGCAACAGCCCATGATTTTCGTTTTCCGTAACATAAATTGCTTTTGGCTGCAGCATGTCATCGCGGCCCATTAGCTCAGCTGGTTAGAGCGTCGTGCTAATAACGCGAAGGTCGCGGGTTCGATCCCCTCATGGGCCATTTCTACATTTTTTTATTTTTTTTTATTTTTATTTTTAAAGACTTGGTATCCAGGTGGTGTAAAATAATCTTATCAATCATTTGTCGACGGCCGAGATTCACAAAGTCTTTTATTAATATTTTCAGATAAAATCTATTTTTAGGGGGCATTCTCAACCGAAATGTGGGTTACGCACACCATCAGAGCAGTGTATAGACATACTTTCATATAAATAATGGTTTAAAGTAAAAATAAAACCTAATTTTACCCAGTAGTTTTTTCACTAGTCTGTAATAACTGTTATAATAAAAGAAATGCAGTTTTAAATAAAACTATTAATTATTTGAATAATGAAAAATTACAATATTACTAAAATATCAGATGTGTCACTGTTTTAGACGTTTGAATTGGGTAAGGAACGTACAATTGTAGTTAAATCTAAATATTTAATGTTTAAATATTTTGATAAGAAAAAAGTTGATAGTTCGCGGTCTAGAACTATGACTGTAGGGGGAGATTAACCGGAACCAACATCTTATTGGCTTCAGAAGTTAGAACTTGCACGACTTAAGGGGGGTGGTTACTCACACGTATTCAGGAGGCCCGGTTCGGGGAACTCGTTGCGGCGATACGAAAGACGAAGGCGTGAAATGGAGGGCATAACTTGCTAGTGAGCAACTGGTGACCAAACATAAACATCCGAGACAATCGCCGAAGGGAAAAGGAAAAGCCAAGAAAAGTGCGGCCTTTGTTTGGCTTCTGCTTCTGTGCGTATTTCCACACAATCCGTTCAGTTCAGTTCATCGAAGAAGGAAAAATCATTTATGCCAGCAAACATAAATGCCATACACTACACTCCCACTAATATTAAGGCACTGATAGAGGGTTTTCTATTTAAGCACAAGTAAATAACGTATATATATATATAGATTGATAAGGGAGTAAACAAAGCCGCAAACTTGGGCGATAAGGTGCTGCCGCACTACTGCACTCGATTTTCTATGTCTGAACTTGTAATTTGCTTGGTTTTACCGCTTTATGGATTTATTATTAAGGTGAACACGAGTCGCGGCGCCGCTTGTTTTTACTTTTTATTATGCTTTTTATTATTCGCTTTGCCTTCTCTGCAGATCTGGCAACGCCGCTACGAACAGCTGCTTGCAATTTATCGAAAATCGTCAGCGAACCCAAATTCAAAAGCACCGTTAAGAAACAAATGGCTAAGTTTATAAATATTCAAAAATAAGTGGTTACAATAGATACAAGAAAATAAAAATTGTGAAACCATTTGAGACACAATTTTCATTTAATGGAAAAACGAAAACATTTTGGCATTAATAAAATCATATAAGTATTTGGTATATCCCTTCAAATGTTATTCTGTTTAAATGATTGTCAATCTTAAAAACAAATTCCTTCAGAGAATGTATATAAAGATGATATTTTCCCAGTATTTTGGGCCCAATCCAACAATTCCAATAAGTATAAAAACAATTTTTTATAATTATAACGCAATGATTTATTCCCTAAAACGACAGGGTACAAATGACTTAAGTTCTAGGTCTTGTTCTCCACGACACCGCACTACTTTTTACACATTGTACAAAGGGATGCTTCGAAACAAAGTTATTGGATGGCAACGTGGTTAAACCGTTTTGGCGGTAAGTCAAACAATTATTTCAATATCCGTTTCGATGATTAACTGAAATCAGGGATCAAGAGCGGTTAAGTAGTAGGAGTATAAAAGCAAGCAGTAGCTACACGCAAGAAATCAACAAAAAATGTTGGTTAATCGACACAAGAACCAGGAGGAGTTAATGCTAGAGAATATTTGTAAATGTTTAGGTACTAGGAGGATATATATATACAGTCTAATATACATGTGTCATTCAATATGAATGAGTGCTCCGGGTTAGATACATTTTATCAGCACTCAGTTATTCTGTTAACTTTACGTGTTGGTGCTATAAACAGATGTGTTTTTTTCATTCAATGTGTTCGATTCCCTCAACAGTCTTTAGAAAATGCATGGGTATTTTGTATTAATAACTTCGTTGTTCACGTTCTCTTAAACACACAAAAAATAAAAATGAATCGATATAAGTTAGCAACGAGACAACTAAATCAATACGGACAAGAAATAAAAATGGCAAGAACAATTGCAAAATGGCAAATGAATATTGGGTAAATGGCCTCTCGGGTTAATGCTGATGTTCAGGACGTCGGCGCGATCGTTATAACTCATTCTCCATGTTTGAGCGAACGTTTCGCAGCACGTTGTGCGTTTTTAGTATTTGATTTTTGATGTCTTTCTCGACTTGTGCTTTTGCTTTGTTAGCCATACGCAACTTTTCGTAGGTGTCTTCAAATGCGCGTTTGGTGCGGATTAGTTTACGCCGCAACTCGGCATTTTCAAGATCTACCTTGGCACAGTCATGAGCTGTGGCTGCACCAGTGGCCAGGTTGGTCGTGTCGTCGGGTGAACTGGATTCTGTGGAAAAAGAAATACAAGAATTAATTGAGTGATCTCTTGGTCGCAAGATTCTATTAAACTTACCCTCGGCCTTTGTCTTTGCACTGGCTGCACCCTCGATTTTCATCTCCACAGTCTTGAGCATCGCTCGCTGGGCATTCGATAGCTCGACGCTGGAAATCCTTCCGGCATCGCTTTCTATGCCCAGATCTGGTGATGAATTGTTAACCCGCTGGGCCACCACTGCAGCTGCTGCCAGTTTGGAAGATGACGGCTGTCCCGCTGGTGGTCCCATGGGCACGGCCACCTCCTCGGAAGTGTAACCAGACTGAGAGACATCGCTGCTGTTGGAGCGCTTTGGCTGCAACTTTCGTTGCTCCTCCTTGAGCGCCTCCAGCTGAAGCTTCAACTCCTCGGAGCGCTTCTCCAGTTGAAGCTTGTCGTTGTACGCCTTCGTGCGCTCCATCACCGCCTTGGAGGCCTGCAAGGTGCTCTCGTCCAGTTGCTTCTTCAAGGCCCGCGTGGCCAGCTCGTTCTCGACGAGCGTCTGCTTCAGCTCCTTCTCGTTCTCCTGGTGATATTCCAGGGAGCGTTGCAGTTCCAACAGTTGCTGAGCCTGCTCCTGGTAGACGGTTAGTGCCACCCAGTCGCGCTCTAGAGCCTCCTGATGCAGCTGCTCGTGCTCTTCCAACTGCTTCATCGCTTCCAGCTTGTGCCGCTCGAGTTCGGTTTGCAGGTGTTCCACCGAATCGGCGTGCTGTTGTTCCATTTCCTGCAATTGCTGCTGCACCGCCTGCAGTTCCATCTCGGTTATCTGTACGTCCGCAGTCAAAGTGCTCTGTGTCAGCTTCAGTTGATCGATTTGTTGGGTCTTAAGCTCCAGCAGGCGTTGCAGCTCCACCATCCGCTGGTCCTCGTGTGAACCAATGGCCTTCAGATCCGCAGTCAGAGCCTCGTTGATGGCTCTCAACTGCTCCAGTTGCTGGCTGATGTCCAGACAGCGCAGCTGCTCCTGCTTGTATCTATTGTCCAGATCGACCAACTGACACTGCACGTTCAGCAGACGTTCGTCCTTCTGGGCAATCTGTTCCTCCAGCTGGGCGATACGTTCGCTGTTGCGGTTGCGATCCTGTCGGGTGGCGCAGCCTCTTCCCTCGCTCTCCGACTCGCTGGCCGGCTGATCCGGGGCCGCCAGACTGTTGGAGGTTTCGTCCAGGCCAATGCGTGCCAGGGAAACCTTGCGATCCGGCTCCGACCAGGCCTCCGATTCGCTTTGGTTGTCCAACTGCTGGGACTGTAGCGGCAGGGAGCGCCGCTCCTTGCGTTGCAGCTGCTGTCCCTCCGTGCTGCGACGCTTCTCCAGTTCACGTTTCAGAGCCTTGTTCTCCGCCTTCAAGTTCTCCACCGTCGGACTCATTGAACTGGCCGCGTGGATCTCCTCGTGGGAGTTGAAAGTCTTGTGGCTAACATCGCCTTCGGTGTACAGAATCTCGGAGAGATTACACAGCTGCGCGAGGCTCTGGTCCGCCAAGGAAGTACCTGTTATGTTCAGGGTCATATTTAGACTCTTGGAGAGATCCAAGCTGCGGTCCACAGCCTTTCGCATGGCATGACGACGATCGGCGGCCAAGACGCCAAGAACATCCTTGTGCTTCAACAGTGAGTTAAGGAATCCGGCCAGCTCTTCCAGTCGGTTGGTCAGCACACTGCAGACATCGACGCACTCCAGACGCCACTTGTCGGACGTCTCCACTTCCGTGCGAGCTTGCTGAAGTTCCAATCGCAGCTGCCCGATGACCGCGCAATTCTGCTGATCCTCTGCCAACCGCTGGAAGAGCACGTCCACCTTGCGCTGCAGCAGTTTATTGCGCTCCAGTGCCCTCATGTATTCCGCCTCCGTAAAGGATTGCTGCAGGTCGACTTCGGCGGCCGTCTCCTCGCCAATCTGCGGCAAGGACTTCTGCTGATTTGCCAGCAACTTGGTGAGACGCTCCACCTCGCGATTCTTCTCCCACAGCTCCCTGTTGACCAGGTTCTGCAGGTTGGCCGTCTTCTTCTTGACCTCCGCTTGCAGCTGCTTGATCTTGTCCTCCTGCTCGGTGATCTTGAGCTCGTAGCGCACCCTGAGATTGGTGGAGATTTCCAGGGAGGAGGCCTCGTTGTCACTCATGGAGCGGCCCGTCGTCGATGGCGAAACAGTCGCCTTATTGCTGTCGTTCTAAAAGGAAATATCAATAAATAATTACTTGTCTTTTAACCATATTTTTAAATTTCAATAATCCATTATAATTAATGTAAAATTATGAACATGTTATTAAAATAATTAGCTTGAAAGTTTTACTTAGTTTTCTTAATTAAATTTAGAATCTCTTTTGAGAGATTTTATTTTATATTTTTGAAACACACAAAACTTTTTTTGTGTTATGCATATTTAGCTGTTCGGTTTGCGACATACATTTGTGTGACAGCCCTGAATAAACACGAAATATCTTAATGTTTTTTATATGATTTGGCGACCTAATTGCTTAAAGTGGGTTCAGCGCTCTCAAGAAATCGAGGCCCATTTGTGTTTAAATTAAGCACGCAACACACTTTTCTAAATTTTAATACTACGACAAGGCAAACAATGGTTTTATTAATTCGTCTTTGGGAACTCGGAGCTGTAGAATATATAGGTAGTGCGGTCTACGTTAAAGTTTAAGGTTCTACTTTTCATTAAAAAAATAATTGACATTCTGCTTGAGTTTTATTTTCAACCGCAAATGTTTATCAATATATAACAAACGTAAGAAGATTGGTTTCTACAAAATTCTAACTATCATAGTTATTAGTATTAGAATTTTGTATGGAAACCTATGGAAGCCAATACCAAAAATAAAATAATAAGTACATTACACAAGGTATTATTTATGGGAAACATACACCAAACAAATTAACCTTTAGGAGGAAGTAAATAAATGCTTACCTCCTTATTGACCGACGGCTCCTTCTCCTGGTTAAGGCGCTTGATTTCCTTCTCCTGGCTGCTCAGCTTCTGCATCAGCTTCTGGATGGTGCGACAAGCCTGGTCGTGGATCCGCTCACGCTCCTTGAGCTTCTCCTGCGCGTCCTGTAGCTCACACATCTTGTCCGCCAGTTGGGCGCCCAGTTCTCGCTTGGTCTGTAAGTAATCAGAGCAAACGGCTACAGCTTCCAAAGAATTCAACACAAGATCTTAGCTTAGCTAATCAGCTTATGCTTTTAATGGGGCTTAGTAACATTCAATCAACTGGTGGGGCTGACATTCAATGGGATTACATTTAAATACACCTTAACGAGAAATTTGTCGATGTCTGGGGCGATGCGACATCGTTCGAACTTCGAATAAAATATGGGCAACTTCGGATTGGTTGGGTTTTCTATTAACGATCAACAAAAAACGGGACTAAAGAGAGAAGGCGGTGATCAAATGGCGAACATGAATCCGTCCAAGTTCCGGAAATGCGGATACAACAGCGAGGTTAGCCCGATACCGCCTTGGTAATGGCCGACCTCACAGGACATCTGCCACGGCACGCCGGCGTTTTGAAGACACATGTGAAGTCGCATCAACAGAAGGGCGAGTTTAAGGGCTACGAGCCCCAGCGACACAGGAACTGCCGAAACCCAGCGAAACTGGGCAACGAATAGTTGTAGAAAGCCGTGCTGGGTGCCGACACGGCCAGCAAAGTTGCGTGTCTGCTGTGATGTTGCCCTGCCTGGTGAAGATACTGAGGATGCAGATACGATTGCTGCTGACGATGCTGCTGCTGCTGATGCTGCTGCTGTGAACAACGACGGTTTAAGAGCTGAGCGCACTGGTCGCTGGATGAGAAGGGCGTCACCTGTCCGGCGTTCCAATCGCAAATGCTTTTGCACGATGACGGCCCCCGACTGCCGCACAAGACGCTGATCGATGAGAAGTTGGAGTGCAATGAGGAACCGCTGCCGCAACGTGCAAGTGATGTGTTACCAACCCCGGCATCCGGTGGCGTGCTCATCGGCTGCACGATGGCCACGCTACGATCCAGTTGCCGCAGCTCCCGTTGCCGCAGGTTGTCGGAGAGCTCACGAAAGTAAAAGTTCTCCTCCCGCATAATGTCCAGCTCGGCGTTTTGCTTAACTATCAATGCCTCGTACTCCACCAGGTTTTTCAGCACATTTCCGTACGCCTTATCCTTGCGCTTAAAGGTTCCCTTGATAAGGGGAGGGGGGATTGCAAATTGAGGAGAGGTTTGCTGAGGGAACAGGTACTGGGGACTCACTTCCAAGAGCTGAATGGTCTGTCGCTGCACTTCCATCGTTTCGGTGGCCTCCTTCAACGAGCTGTGTTGACTGGCCAGCTTGAGCTTTAAGGCAGCGACGGAGGTCACCAGACTCTGGATTTCCGCCCGACAGCCCCCGATTTCAACCTTTAGCTGTTCTATGACCTTCTGAACATAAGGGACCCTCTTTAAACCTTACACATATATTCCCTTTCCCACCTAATCTATACTATGAATGGCGTTACTTACGTTTGCCGAATCGGCAGAATCGTTGTCCTTTTCGAGACGCTCCACCAGCTCGGCATTCTTAAAGGCCAGCTCCTCGATCTTGGCCTCGCATGCTGTTAGTGTTTCCAGACGCTCAGCCAGCGCAAATTCCAGCTCGTTCTTGACCGCCGTATGACGCATGTCGGTCTCCAGCAGTTCGTCCTCCAGTTTTTGCACCTGCGCCTCAAGGCGCTTCAACTTCTCTGTATCAAATGTAACAACGCTTTCGCCAGGTTGGGCAGACTCTGCCGTCTAAAAGTCAAATGCGGTTTCAGGTTAGAATTTGAATATAAAAAACCCTTAAGAATCTTTCAAAACTCACCTGGTAAGAGCGAATCGTGTTCTGCAGATCATCAATTATCGCCTGGCTGTCGAAATCAGCTTTTCGCTGCATTTCCTCATGGTGAGAGATGGCCCTGGCGGCATCCTTGAGCAGCTCCATCTTCTCATCGACGGTTTTTCGCAGCATTTCGATTTGGATTTTTGCATCGATGAGCTGCTTGCCCAGGGAGTCCTGCGAGTTGTTTGATCGGGCGCCCGGCTGACCCTCCTCCATGAAGTAGATGCGCAACTTCAGATTGAAGTTCTCTTTGCGCAGCGTAGACATTTGCTCCTCCAACTCGCGCACAGATCGACCTTGCATCATTATGGGCGAGTGGCTTCCGACCTGAGGTCGCGCCACATCGAAACTGGCATCTAGAAACAACAAAAAAAAAATAGAGATCTAGATTAATAAAGAATGGCTTAAAGTTATTCAACAAATCACAACTGACTGAGAAACGGAAAACTTCCAGAACTATGCGACGTTGAGGACAAGGAGCGATTTTTCTTCATGTCGGTTAGTTTTCGCCCATCAGTTAAGGCGCAACCAGATAGAAAATAAATAAAGGCAAACTGGGCGGCCGAATTAATGTACAAATGCTCTGTGTATGTTGCCAAAATGGAACCCTAATATCCAATGATTTTTATCATTGAATTACAAATAATCCACAGCCAACTATAAAAAGCTGGAAAAGTTCAGCAGGAAATTTTGATTTAAAACAGATATAAAATGTACATATAGTCCACAACCAACTATAAAAACCTGAAACGGTTCACCAGGCAACTTTGATTTGAAATAGATTTTAAATTATTGGAGTGTCTTATAAATTATCTAAATCTGCTTTTCTTGAAATTGCTCCTTCATAATGAGAGTTTTCCCATGATTTATGATTCAAAGTTTGTGTACAAGTCTATACAAAATTTGTTGCTTTATACATTTTCATACGAAAGAATGCTATCTCTTGTTTTATGAATTATATTGATTTTAGATTGCTTCTAAACATTAAGAGACTCTTGGAGAATCAATTAAAACGTAAAATCATGAAATATCTCAAACTTACATGAGTTCTCCATTGTCACATCTTGCAAAGCTCCCGGACTGGTGCTGTAAAGAAGGAGGAAATCTGTTAATTGGGTACGATGAAAGCAGCTCGCTGTGACCTCGCTGAACAAACATCCAATAAAACAAGTCGTATATAGACGGTAATTAAGATTTTAATTTTGCATACACAAATTCACATATTTCGGCAGTGATGACATAATTGGCAGCCTATCGCTAACAACCTTTGACCTCGTCCAACTCGCTGGACGCACAATCTGTGGTGTTGTGCGGCTGGAAACACTCCTCGATGGTCTCCAAAGTGCCATTACAGAACTCCGGATAAACGGACCAGGCCGTCCAACCCTGCTGTTTCTGGATGAGCCGAGCGCACTGGACGGCCATGGTGATGTCGTCGCTCAGCAGGTGAGTGCAATTCACATTGCAATCATTGAAGGCATGGTACTCCGTCCGATTTGGCGGTGCACACCAGAAACGATCGCTGATCTGGAAGAGTCCGTAGTCACGGGAGCCATCCGCATTTCCCTGACCCACGACGTGCGTATTGAAGCGGCTCTCGAACTCGGCAATGCAGAGCCACAGGGGCAACTCCGATTTCGGGACATCCAGTATGTAAAGCTGACCAGCAAGTTCGCAGGGCTTTAGGCGAATGGCCAGCAAGGGGATCCCCTGGAACAGGAACCACAGCACCGGGAGTACTCTCACTTTCAACCAACTTGATCGGACCATTTCAAGTGAGATTCAGTCACGAAGTGACTATCCAACTCCGGCTATCAAGGTGTCTTACTAGTGAGATCAAGCGATCTTGGCTAGCGCGCTTAATCCGATACCGAAACCGGTTTACATTATTTGGCCTGGCTTATGACTTAAATTGGTAATAAATACTGGAAAATGAACGGACAATGCAAAAATGTTTGATGCTTGCATTGCACTTTGTTCTGGCTACTAAATATCTACTTTTAATGAATGACATTTCTCCCTTGTACGAAACAAAAAACTGGAAGTGCTCAGAATTTCTATTTTGATCATTTTTTTACGTTAATTAAGAAACTGATTCCAGTTTTCCCAATCGGGCGTGAAAATGATGGATTTGATTCCATTTAAATGAACACTCACAGTGCACTACAATAATATAGGAAAACTATATGAGATCAAATTAAGATATATTTCAAAAGTTGATTTGGTAATTCAAAACTTAATATTAAATTAACGAATTTTTCACATACTCTATTGACTGAGTAAAATGTAATTAAAGTTTAATATCTACTAATAATACTAATAATGTATAGTTTCTTAAAATTGATCCGCACTGTACGCTTTTTCTATTCTTTCAATTACAGACACACCCAATTGCCCAAATCGGCAGTCAACCTTTTTTTTTCTTTTTGGCCAATTGCTTTGTGAACTAAATTTCAGCTAAAGTCACACTTGAATGATCGCACTTCCAAAAACCGCAAGTCGAAATGGATGAGATTACACTTCAGCGCCTTAAATCCGCCGTGAAACGGGGAAGAGGGAAGTGCAATTAACCGGGCATACATAGATTACGTACACAGTAGGCCCAACAATTTAAGAACCATAACTACTTACCAGAATGCTCCATTGCTGGTATTCAGCGAATATCGCTTGAATGGGGAGCCAGGCACATCGGTCGAGTGGTTTAGAGAGGTAGATCGAAATATACCCGCCATTTTCTATGTTTCATCTAGCATTTGGCGCTCTTATTTGGCGTATTTATTTGCTTTAGATTTTATACGGGTATATACAAGTATGTATGTATGGATATTTGCAGCGACTCTAAATTTGAGATTTAATTAGTTGCTTTTACATAGGGTGGCCACGTCACCCCTAGTTGTTGTTGTTCTTGGCTTTATTCCCTAAATACTTTCGCGGCGCACGCCCGAATTCATTACGTATCCGCCATGTCGTCTTCCAAGGGGCAGGCCGCCATGAGTCATGGGCTGCTGGCTGACGTGCGCAGCAATCAGGAGCATTCAGCCGTAGAGCGGAAGAAGCTTCAAAGAGTCTGGCGCTCCTACGGATGGGATGCAGCTCCCGGCGATGGGGGATGGACGACGGTACATGTGGGGCAGCACGACTTCGAAGAGGCCAACAGATACACTACACACACCACACACCTCTACCTCTGGTCGTCATTTATTTTGGGAATTGAGCAAATTGCAAAGAGGCGACCGCAATACAAACTGCAAAACGTGCACCGGGCAAGTAAAGTCTGCCAAACATATTCACTGAATGTTTTGTTTTGGCCATCGGCCTGGTTACTATGGTGGTAATGAAAATCAATGGCTTAAGTTAAGGAACACCAGCTGGGTGGTATTGTAAACAACAGGTGGGTGTTGGAATCGTGTTAGAGCATGTGTCTCTTTGATTAACACCTGAATATTATCTTTGCTGCGTTTTAGGGCCTCTACATCGGCAGGTAAGCTGCAGTTAACCGCCCATTTTCACCCCACCTGGAACCTGTGCTCATCTACCTGCCTGCCCGGCGCGTCTCGAGTGGGTGTCAAACTATGGTTCATGACACACAAAGGCGCCTGCATTGTTCAACAAAGAAGTACAATAACAATAAACAAAAGTGAACTGAGCATATATCGAGTGATATGTGAAGGTAGTACTATAGACACTACACATATGGCTCAAGGCAAAACTACAATTTACAACTTTTTGGGCAGGTAATGCAAGTTGCACACTAAATGTCTATCTCTACCGACTTGATATTTCAAAATACACAAAATATGATCAAACATTCCTCTCCAAAAAATGATACAATTTTAGAATAAACCTCCTTTTCGTCTAGAATATTTATTTTTCGGAAAAATTACCCCCAAAGAAAATTATATTTGACTTAGTCTTTAAACAATAGAATTAAGGACAAATTAACATAAATAAATATTTGGAAATGTTGTAATTTCGAATAATGTATAAATATAATAGTAATAATGTTATAATAAATCACAACTTTTTGCTATGAATTTCCATGTTGTTATTAATAGAGTTATTATAAAGTAATTCATGTTGATAAGAAACCTTTTTCCTTTTTTCCCCCAATATTATATTATTAAATTCACAAAGGAAAAAAACCAAAAATTGATGACCAATTTTGGTGATTAATAGTTTTTCGGGGTACATCCGCTAAATGAACGCTTAAATTTTATAAGAGTTTCCGATACTGTACTTTACAAGGCAGGATGCTTTTTTTCAGGGTAGGGACGAACATTGCAGTTTGGATGGGCAACAAAGAGGTGTTCTTTTCAGTTTTTACCCCATAGGGGTTAATTCAACGAGTCCATGACCCCTTATGAATGCACATGTGTGTATGCATGTATGTAGGTACTAAAGCCACACATAAAACTGAAGACTGATAAGACTTATGAGGAAATTAAGAATACCAGGAAATTAAGAATTCCGGGAAATGATAAACTACAGCTAATGATGTGATATGTCTGTCGATTGAACTGTGGAATGCTCTATTCCACAAACAAATTAATTTCTATACTTTTTCCCGACTAAAATTAGCCGCAGCATCGCGGCGACAAACCATTCGAACAAAAACAACAACAACAACGGGGGCACCACCACAGTCATCTGTAGTATATCTAAGTATGTATTACATTGTATGTACATCCGAGCACACTTTTGTACTTTATATGTATATTTATACGATTTGTTTTTCACTCGAGAACCACTAGCAGCATCTCCTGAATCGCTTATCCACAGCAATTTAGCAATAAATACAAATCAATCTATCACTTTTGTATCTCGTTGTGCAGTATAAACAATTGCACTTATGTACAGATATGTACAATCAAACACTCACACACCCGCACACCGCTTGACCCGCTGATTGTTACTGCTTATTTACATATAAAATGAGTAAGTGTGTGTGTATATGGCACGATTGATAGCCGAGAGGCAAGCAAAATAAACCGAAAAACGCTCTTTACACGTCCAAATAAACCGAAAGCTAGAACATAACTGACTGAATGTACGATGCGACCGATTAAGAGAGCGAGAGGAAAACTCAGACTCATCTGCGAGGAAAGGAAAATGCGCTCAGCAGATGTTACGCATTTCCCAATGCGGAATTGCCGTAGTCGTACACTGAGTGAAATAATTGCAACATTTTAGATCAACAAACTCCCTGTTAGCATTACAGATTTAGATTCTGACTGTGTATATTAATTTGGAAATTTGGAACTACATATGTATGTATGTACATACGTACATACATAGATGTTCCTAGAAAAGGAAGTCACAAAGGCTTAACAACTGAGGCTCATAAAAAATTCTGATTTAATAATATAAAATTAATTACTGAACAAGATAATGATTCATAAGGTTGAGTTACCGTTGCCCTACCTTTATATTACAAATCCTGATAAAGAAATGAAATATAAATAAACAATGCTATTTGGTAACATAAGGTGGTTAACTTTCTAAATATTTAATATTTAATTTAATTTTATTTAATTATTTAGCCGGAATAAAATTAAAAATTTAATTTTTTAAAAGTTGACCACCTAATGCTACCGAATCGCTTTGTTTGCTTTAAAATAAGAACAAAATCATGAAAACCTGAATATCAAATTCATATCCTGTAACCATAGAACTTTTAAGCTAAAATAATTTTTTTATATAAATCGCCATTCCCAATTTGTTTCAGTGTACTTGTGATATTGCTGCTCTCTTTGGAAACATTTGGGGTGGGTTATACACCCAATGTACATATGTATGTGTTTGCAAGGGTACCTCCCCCTGTGGGGCCGATTGTTACGGATTTGGGAGAGCTCCAGCTGAGAGCGTCAGTTCCCGATCACAGTGGGCACATTCGCAATGTCACATGCCGATCATCTGCTGCGCACTTTGGTGAAAAGGGAATACGAGTATTTATACTCTTATTGGTTTGGTAAGGAACTGTTTTTTGGCTGTCATGCCTACTTACTCATCTATACTTTTGGACAGGGCCTCTGCCAGTTTGCGCAGCACCCTCCTGTCGATTTCCGAGGCACCATTCTCCTCCAGGAAACTGGTCACCGTCTCAATCAATGAGATTTCCCTTAAGGACGAGGCGCAGGTGGCATTGCCATCTCCGCAGTAGTCCCGCAAAACCTGTTTAGACTGGTCCATGGGAAGTCCTTTCGAAGTTCAGATTGTTTTTTTTTTTTACTAACACTTAACAATTTTACAAAGGACGCTAACAATTAGGTTTTTTTTTTCTGTTTGGAAAATGAAGCGCGCTTGAACAGCTGCTTTTGGCGTCAGTTATCGGAATACAACCGGGCGCGGATACAGCCTTGCCATATGCCCGGAATTAGAAGCCACAGCGGTGTGGCAACGCTGAATGTCGATTTTCGTTTCTAGAAAGTCGATTCCTATCGAACGTAAACAACATCGACGGTTTACGAAAATTAGCATTTGCCTGATAAGCAACTAGAACACAGCGGCCACAGATATAACGCCATGCTATAAACGATTCACGGGCACGTTTACGCCAGCCCAACCAAACCAGCCCAATTTCAGTTGGGGGACATACACTGCGACAAAAAAAAAACAGGTAGAGGAAAAGCTCTCCCGTAACAGCAACAATGTTCGCCACACTGAAAAACAAAATAAAGGAGGAAACGGGCGAGGATGTTGTCCAGCCGGGCAATCAGCGTTATCCCAGCACCAACAACAACAATTACCGGCTACGTAGTCGCCGCGTTAGCATTAATTCCAACTCGGCCGATGATGTGGGCGGTGGCGGATTCTACAATGAGGTATGAAAAAAAAACAAAACAGCCTATTTGTGTATACATATAGAAAGGTGAAATGGATAAACAAACACCTGTACCTTTTTGCAGTCGGAGCAATTGTGCCAGCTGCGGAGTCAATGCAACGAGCTCACCACCAAGTTATCCACCGTCACGCAGGGATTGCAGCAGCTGCAGGAGGAGAAGAGCCGCGTGGACAAAACCAACGAGATCCTGCTGGAGAGCGTGCGCGTGGCCCAGACGCAAAAGGACATGTACTGCGAGGAGCAGGAGAAGATCCAGAATCTGCAGCAGATCGAGATCGACAAGTTGAAGAACCTGCTCAGTTTCCGCGAGCAGGAATCGGTGGATCGCATGGGTCTCATGCGTCAGCAGAGCCAGCAAATCGAGTCCTTGAGCGAGGAGCTGGAGCGTCTCCGTCCCATTGAATCCGTGGCCGAGGATTTGCGCGACGAACTGGAACAGCTGAGGCACGCCACGCAGCAGGAAAAGAACCTGCTGACCACCACACTGGCGGCAGTGCAGGAAGAGAATCGGCACCTCAAGAAGCGCATGAAGATCGTCGAGGAGTCGCGTCTAGAGTCGCTGGGCAAGCTTAACTCCGAGCAGCAGGTGCAGGCCCTAATCCGTGAGCACAAACTGCTGGAGCAGCACTTGGAGGAGGCCCATTTGCAGCTGTCGGACATCAAAGGGTCCTGGAGTGGCCAGAATCTGGCGCTGGAGACGCAAGTCAGTCGTCTATCCAAACAAGTGGCCGAGGAAACCACCGAAAAGCGCAAGGCCCTCAAATCCCGCGACGACGCCATCGAAAACCGCAAGCAGGTTGCTTTCGAACTGGAAAAGGCCAAAGATGAAATCAAGCAGCGAGACGATAAGGTAAGTAGGCAGTCATCCTTTAACCCCGATACTTATTTTTACTTAATCCCAGGTTAAGCTGCTAGAGGAGGAAATCGACGAGCTAAGTGTGGCTCTAAAGGAGTGCCGCGAGGAGAACGAGCAACAAATCCTCTTTGAGCGCAATAAATCTGTGAGTATGCCTTCCGATGCTGACGATTTCCATTGGGACTTGTAACACTAATAAACCTTGTAATGCGGTACTAACTCTAACACTTAAGTTTCTGGTATACCTAACACCACCTTTTGGGAAAATGCAATTTTCCGCTACACCTATTATGTACTTTTGGATTGTAAATGTTTTCCTTTCTGTATTAAACTGATTTTAAATCGTTGGCAAAACTGATTGGTAACCTTTTTCCTTAAACAATGCACGCATATGTATATGTTTACCTTCAATATCCTAAAACTGCTTGATGGAGACTTTGTAAACCAATAAACCGAATGTTCTCAGCAAAATCTGGAAACAGAGGTAAAAGATCTCAAGACTCGTCTTACGGCGGCGGATGACAGGTTCACCGACTACGCCTCGAATGCCGAGCAGGTGGCCCAAAAGCTACGCACACAATTGACTGAAAAGCAGGAGCAGCTGGACGAAACCATAATGCAGCTGGAAATCGAACGAGAGGAGAAAATGACTGCAATACTCCGTAATGCGGAAATCGCCCAAAGCGAAGACATTTTACGGCAACAGCTGCGCCTAGAGCGCAGCGATGCAACCGATCTTCAGGACAGGAATAATCAACTGGAGAGGGATATATCTGATGCCCGGCAAGCGCTGCAACAGATCAGCAGCACAGCCCAGGATAATGCACAAAAGTTGACCGAGTTCGAGGAAGTTCAATTGGAAATAGTCGAGAAAAATAAGGTAAGATGTGACCAAACTGTTTGTGCTAACTCTAATTTGGCATCTTTTGGTGTAGACAATAAAAACACTGAATCAGCGCTTGGTCGACCTGAAGAAAACTGTGCAAAAGGAATTGCGCAGCGCGCAGATATCAACGGATAGTGAATCTCATCCGACAACGAATCCCGGACACAGAATCTCAAGCTCATCTCTGGAGACGTTTCCCTCTGGCGACAAAGGCAATTGCATTATAATGGACGAAGTTAATTTCCAATATTTGAAACATGTCATAGTGAAGTTCTTGACCAGCCGAGAGGTTTGTACTTTCACTCGATTTCCGCTCGGTTATCCCGAATTCATGTGCATTTCCCTTAGGTGGAAGCACGTCATCTTGTCCGTGCCGTCTCCACATTACTTCAGTTGACATCCGAGGAGGAAAAGCTGCTGCATGACACTTTGAATTGGAAGATGAGTTGGTTTGGCATGAAACCAACCTAAATGCCCACTGCATTGAATCACATTTGTATTCTAGTCTGTAGTCAATTCATAACGTTCGTGTAATATGTACATACCAATTGCATACGCAGCACTGTGTTACTTTGTTTACCGACAACATTCCATTCTGTTAAATAGTATTTATTTCTACCGTTGTGATTTTTATAATAAACTACCATTTATGTAAGCGAGTGTTTGTTTTTTTTTTGTTTTGTAAAAGGTTTTTTAGTTTTCTCTAAATTGAATTATTAATAAGTAGCTTTGAGTAAATTAAAATAAAATTGTTTCTTACGTAGAATTACTTTCATATTACTTTACTTGATACTTACTTCCATTCTACTTACTTTGGTGGCGCCATCTAGTTGTAATATGTTCTTGTCGACCAAAATAAAAGTCGTTTGGTAATTTTGTTAAAAATACTGCATTTTACATTTAAAAATATGTTTTTGTTATATGTTGGTTTGTTACAAGTTACGTTCACTAAAATTAACTATAAATATGAATTTACTTCAATTTATTTATTGCAAAAACCTACATTGTATGAATAACTAACTATTCATTTGTATTATCTATGAATAAATGATATAGGAGAATTTAAGAGTAAACAATAAAACACACTATTACTGAGGCACTTTTTGGTGTTTATAACAATAAAGAAGACAGTTGAATTAGTCGCATATTCATCGATATTGCTTTCATATAAGAATGACATATTTACACTTCAGAATCAGAACTAAACATTAAACTAAGTCTAGGTGTTAAATGCATTTAAATCAAAATTGCGTAAGTAGGGGCTAAATCATTTGTGGATTTTCTGTCAGAACTCGGAAAATTTGGCACACGGAATTTCAAAAGACTCACACTTACATCGTTTAGACCTATGGTAATTACTAATAATTGCATTTCGCTTACAAAAATCTGCAGTCTATTGTTGCGTATGGTTGCAATCTATTTCTGGCTATCTGGCAAAATGAAACTTAACGAGATCGAATAAGTCCTCCAGGCATGGACGCTCTCTCTATAAGCTACGATTAAAATTAGTTAAAGCCTTAAATGACCAATTAAACACACATACATATTTACAAATCAGTTGTAGAAATTAGAGTTGTGAAAATATTAAAAAAAAAAAAAACGTTGATTAAACAAAAATCAATGCAGAAACAAAGTGATATGTTGCTACACCTCTCTTGCCTTACATGTAAATCTCAAAATGTTACGTGAACCCCCGACTGGGCGACTGTACGGGCGATGGCGGGGGCGGCAGCGGCGAGAAGTACGTGGAGCTCCGCGATGACGGCGATGGCGGGCAGGATGACTCCGGCACAATGCGCACATCGCTGTGGTAATGCGAGCGTGGCGTCGGCGGCGGCGGATACGGCTCACTATCGTAGCCGTATTGCAGGCAGGCGGCCGCCGAACTGGAAGAATGCTTCGTGGCCCCTCCATTACTATTGTTGCTATTCGATTTGCTCGTGTAATTCGAGTCGGACTCATCACAAATGTCCGTGGAGCAGGGCGTGGGTGGCGGTGGCTGGTTAATGATCTTGTAGTGCCTATACGGACGACGCGATCTGGTCGCCGGTGAGGGTGGCGGATTGATTGGATATGCCACCATACTACTGCCATTCGTCGTTGAACTCGAAGCCCCCGTGATGTGATTGCGATCGTACGAGTTCATGCTATTCCGCGAGTTCAGCGTGGACATCCGCACGGCGTCCGCCACGGAGGCGATTTTGGACACCCTCTGCGATTTACTGAGCGTCGACGGTGACAACGGATCCGTGGCCTGGTCGTCCTTGGGCTCCGTCCTACTCTTGCCAATTCGCGTACGACAGAACTGCAGCAGATAGACAATCGAAAAGATGGTGATCATGGTGGCTCCAATTAAAATCATAAACGCGCGCTTATCGGTGGCCGGCGCCATGCGACGCTGCAGGCAAATGTCCGAGGATTCGTCGGCTCCATCGGCGCAGTTTTCCCAGCCATCGCAGAGCAGGGCGGCCGAAATACACAGCTGTAGGAGTGTATTAACAGAGTTAACAAAGTTCGTCATTCGCACTAAAACACACACACACTCACCTTATTAATGGGGCACTGGAACTCCCCCGGGCGCTTACAGCAATCCGCCTCGTCATGACCATTGGCACAGTTGGTGGTGCCATCGCAGACCAGCGACTTGTCGATGCACTCGCCCGACTGGCAGCTAAACTGATCCGCCCGGCACGTGGGACATCCCACCTCGTCCGACTTGTCCGGACA